TAAAAGAAGTATATAAATAATAGTGAAGGGATATTATTTATACCTTTCTGTCTGAAAGGTAGATGAATATGTAAGCTGTCTCTGTTAGTATTATGTTACTGTGGCATTAATGTGCGTAGTCAGAGATACTAAAATTTACTGTAGCAACATAACCATTAAGAAAGCAGATTCTTATGTTGTGACACTAATGATTCTTGAAATCACTTATTAAAATGAGTTTTCTAAATTTTATACTTGTCCCTGAAAATAGAGCATTGATTTAGGGAAGGTCTCAGCAATTTGATCTGCTGTTTTTGTGTTAGGGTCATCAATTCCTTAATAATTTTTTATATTTTGTAAAGCCAGATTAAAAGACCTTACATTTTTACTGTCTTACTTAAATTTTAGATAATAGTATATTCCTTCTCAGATTTAGTACTTCGATATAATTTAAATTGGTTTATGTCATTTCAGGTATTCAAAAGGTTGTCCTAAAAGTAAAAAAAAAAAAAAAAAGTGTTTAACTTGGCAAAAACGGGAAAAAGCAAACTCGAATGAGTCATGGGATGAGTCAAGAGGGTGAGGTTTGTTTTTGTTTTGTTTTTTTGGGGGGTCCATTTTTTTTTTTTAAGAGAAGAGAATCCTAAGCAGTAGAAAAAACATCTTTGATGTAAGGTGGTGCCCAAAGTTGGAATTTGTTCTTCGCTGTTAACTGATGCTAAGTGCAGATCTTCTGTGAACATACTGAAAACAGGTAGTAGTGCTCACAAATGGGTCTAATCTATTTTAGAGATCTTGGCCTAATTTGTAGCAGCTGGTAGGTGCTGACATTCCACAGTGCCTCTAGTGCATTGCTGGCAGTTGGAAGTGCTTGAGTAACTGCTTCTGTGGCGATTGTAACAACCAAATAAGCGGCTTTTCTTTGTTTGACATCTAAAAGAATTTTTTTCTACTATTCTTGAAAGCTAGTATTCTTAGATATTGGTGTAAAAAATATTTATGGCTTTACTTTCCAAAGTAGCAAGTTTCAAATACTCTAGATGAGAGAGAGTGATTTTAGAGCTTTCCGTGATAGAATGCTGCTGCGTTCATGCCTTAGGTTTGGCTAAGTATGGACACCTCAGGTTGTTCAGGTAGCCGCTACGAGATAGTCAATACAAGGTGTTCAGTGGCTGTCTTACTCCTCATTATGATCCCAGCTGGACGGACGGATGGACGGACGGACGGATGGAAGGGAGGGAGAGGAGGAGAAAAAAAATGAGTGGTGGGAGGGGAGAGATCCTGTTCCCTTACATATTTTGCTGGCTTCTCAAAGAAATTTCAAGGTGAGTTTTGTCTGCACAAGATGTGTAAGTTGGTGAATGAAAAGATTAAATAGAGCTTGTTCTCTCCAGGTCATTCTTAAGGGGGTGTTTAAGTAGCCCTTTGACAGAGCTTTGCAAGTGGGAACGAAACTGAAAGAGAGAGTTGGGAGGGATAGGAGAGGAGAGGAAGTAAAAATTGAAATGCGTTGTGCACATGTACCGACTCCCCACCATGAGTGCAATCATTATATACTGAAAACTTGTGTAATAAAAATACAATTTTTAAAAGCCCCAACTGTGTTGTGGAGGGAAAGTTGTTCCTTGGCAGTTTGCTTTACCCTTGAGGAAAATTTTAGCTACTCATCCAGAACAATTATCAAGTACTTTGTAATATTTCATAAGATATTTATAGCCACAGAATGTAAATGTGTTTTAAATAGTCTTTTAAGAGTTTTTAACCAGAGACAGAGTTAATGATCCACACAACTGTGAGACAAAAAATGTCCTTCTTTCTTTAATCGGAGAAAAACTGGTAGTGTAATAAATGGAGTGTTCTGCCCAGGGCCTTCCAGGAGCAAGTTCATAAGGAAAGGGAAATGTGTGCTTTAAAGGAATTGTACACAGAGCAGTGAGCTTAAGAAAAAGAGTTGGGGAAGATGTGAAGACGGGAATTTACATTGAAGTTAAATACCATCAAGAATTTAAGGCATTTTATCCTGTTTCTTATTAAGAATCCACAACACATTTTTAAGCACAGGAGCTAGCACTTTGACCCAGTCTACTTTTTAAAAACGTTAATGTTGGCAGTGTAAAAGAAACAGGTGGATTAAATCACACTTTCTCTGCCACTAATTTACATCTCCGGCCTCTCAGATTCCTTAGTATTATCCAAGATTTCAGTACTAGGTTCTTGAGAGTGGGGTCTTCCAGGTAACTGAACCCTTCAAGTCCTAGTTCATTTTCTGATAGACAACTTTTTAAGCTTAGTCGTGTCTCATAGAATCTAACAGCTAAGTTTCCACAGGTACTGTGGGTGCTTTCGCTTCTCCCTGTTTCCATTAATGATACTCTTTTGATCCTGATTTGTTCACTTGTGTAGAGATGTCTTTTATACTTATAATATACCTGTTGATATATTTGTCTTCTCAAATATATCAACAGGTATATTTGATGTCTTTTCATTCCTTAGTTTTAACAAGGCAAAACTTGATTGCAAGAGGAACACAGTTAACAATCTTTGATATGTATATAAAATTAAAGCAAGCACCGAGGGGGTAGCTTCTTAGCAAAATCTATGAATTTTGAGAAACTTTTCTGGGTGTTTTACTCCAAGTGATGTAGTTTGGCATCTGGTTAGATAAATAAAAATTTTGCTTTGTACATTGATAGCGTTTTGATCAGTAAGTTTCAAAGCATACATTTATAATTAATACTTAAAACATTTATTGAGTACTTGTTTATATACAGTATACAGAATACCTCTGAGAAAGTCATGGGTTCTGCTCTGAGGTAGAAGTATAAGTAAGCCAAAAAAAGAAATTGTAGTAAGATGACTGGTTGCACAATGGAAAACAGAAAAATAGAGTTTATTCAAATACTTCACAAATACAAATTAACTCTGGAATGTGTGTTAAACACCATAGTTTATCACTTGTGGGCCTTAAACAGTTATTTTGAGGTAGAGGTTCTCGAGATCATTTACTTCAGCAGTAGAAACTAATTTTGTGAACATTATTGATGACCTGATATATAGCCACCTTCATCAGTGGTGTTGTGGGAGATGGTGATAAAAGATGAGAAAAATTTTTTTTGAAGTTTTTATATATTTTTTTTAATTTGAGAAAACTTCATAATGGTCCCTAACTTACAATGGTTCACAAGTGATACTCAACAAAATTATCCTTTGAATTTTGATTTTTCTGGATTAGTGATATATGCAACATAATACCTTCAAAATGCAATGCAGAGTAGCAGGTCATACCTCCTACTTTGCTTCAAGATCGATTGAGGGTGGGTAGTTGATAATCTAGAGTGTATTCTGTTGCCAGGGTTTTTTTCCTCTTATAAATACATCAGTGAATTATATGAGGTGTTCAATATTTTATTTTAAAATAGGCTTGGGTTAGATGATTTTACCCAATCATAATTCATGTTCTGAGCATATTTAAGGTAGATGAGGCTAAGCTGTGATGTTTGGCAGATGTGTTACTTGCATTTTCAACTTATGACAGTTTGATATTTTCAAATTGTGGTGGGTTTATTAGCGTGTACCCCTTTTTAAATGGAAGAGCATCTATACTGGGAAAATCTCTGTGAAACTTAGGAAATTTCCATGTTCTACTGATATTATTTCTATCAGTTATATTGAAATGAATTCACATTGGAACACTATCATCTATCTATATACATATTGTAGTGTTGCATTTTTTATATTTTAAATATACTTTAATTTTTAAATTTTTATAATGAGGATGCCATATATATATATATTTTTATGATGTCACATATTTTTGCACTGTTAACTTTTGGGACTATGATACATGCTTATGAGTTATATATTTGCCTTCACTTTCTTTTAAAAAAGATTAGTGGTTTTGTTTAATTTTTGTTAAATACTTGCAAATATTATTTCTGGTAAGCCATAATCAACATTATCTGAATGTTTGATATTTCAAGAGAAGCGAAATGATGTAATTAAAAGGGAAAAAAATGACAACCTTTTTTAAGAATGCAGGTGAGGGGCTGGGGATATAGCTCAACAGCACAAGTGCCTGTGTGGCAAGTGCGTGGTTGTGAGTTCAATCACCGGTACAAAAAAAAAAAAAAAAAGACGGTGAAAGGAGAATTGACACTAAATTTTTATAGAGCGCTGTACTTACAAACTGTGATTCTTAAATTGTTTAGTTTTTTTAAAAATGTTAGGTGGATTTTTTTACCTTTAAAAATTAAGATATATATATATATATATTTTGTTCCAGTTGCTCATACTTGAAGAGATAGTATCAAGAGTTTAGCTAAAACTGGAAGAATATTTAAGAAGCATCCCATTGCCTCCAGAGAAGGGAATTGCATATTATGTGGTACGATAGAAAGAAAACATTTGACTTTGAATAGTTGTGAGCACCCCCCACACACACACACATACACAAACACACTTTTTTGAGACAGAATCTCACTATGTGGTTCAGCTGGTCTTGAACTCATTGTGATCCTCCTGCCACAGCTTCCAGAATGCTAGAATTATCAGAGTTCACCACCACATCTGACTAACCTTAGAATTTTAAACCATAATCTTTATTAAGAAAAAGTAAATGAAGGTTCACAAAAGGAAGGAAGAATAAAGGTGCTTTGGCATAGAGCAGAGATTGATTTAGTTTGTCTAATAGGATCTCTGTGATCAGCTAAGCGCTGTCATTCCAGGGATATCTCCTGTGACCTCCATGATCAGCTTAGCATTGTCAATCTTGGGCTATCTGGGTATTCACGTATAGTTGGCTGTGTATTATGGCAGGAGCAAATAAACAGAAAGGTAACAAAGTGGAAATATTTGTTAAACTTTTTCTATTAGAAGTAATTATTTTACAGTATTATTCATATATGTGTAACTTAATCAAATTGGAAATTACACTGTTGGATAAGTGCTGAATTTTTTTCTTTATAACCATTATGGAACCTTTTTCAAAAATCTTACCACCTTTTTTTGTCGTTGGCTTTCAGTTGATGCTGATGAAATTAAAAGGCTAGGAAAAAGATTTAAGAAGCTTGATTTGGACAATTCTGGTTCTTTGAGTGTGGAAGAGTTTATGTCTTTGCCTGAATTACAACAGAATCCTTTAGTACAGCGAGTAATAGATATATTCGACACAGACGGGAATGGAGAAGTAGACTTCAAAGGTAAGAAGGTTGTCACTGGTTTATGAATCACAGGCTAAAGAATTGATATATAATCACAGTTTTGTGTATAAGTACGCCTGAGACTTTGTTTTTCTTAGTTGCCTTTATAATTCGGTGATGCTATAATAAAAGATTGTTAAAATTTCAAAATCTGTGAGATATATATCTTAATGGGCTAAGATCCGTGCCTTTTGGTTCATAAATGGTCAAGGTGTCTTTTAAGGTAATCTGTGCCCAAAAAGATTTTTAAAATATTTCCTGTTTCTAGGAAATTATTTTCACTTTAGGGCAATTTATAATAATTAGAAGCTGTATTTTAAAGTATTTTCTTTGGGGTGGGGGAGTCTTTTTGAGACAAGGTATCACTAGGTAGTTCAGGCTAGCCTCTGAGCTCACTTTGTAGCCCAGGCCGGCCTTGAACTTGCAGTGAACCTCCTGCCTCTGCCTCCTGAGGGCTGGGATTACAGGTGTGTACCAGCATGCCCATGTTTTCATCTTTTTAAGAATGTATCAAGCAGTGAAAATTAAAGTGTAGAACAAGGATGTGAGCATTATTATACAACAGAAGTAATTCATTTTTATCTAGATTTTACGAATACATTCAGTAGCGCCTTTGCTAATATTAACACAGTACCTTATTTTATACTTTGATTCTATAAGAAAACATTTTGTTTCACTAGTAATTGTTAAAGGAATTTGTTATTTTAATTTTAGAACTGAATTACTACTTGAAGGGATTTTTAACTGGTTATGATTGACATTAGGTAGTAAAGAAAAACGAGCATTTTGCATGAAACTTCTGGTAATGTATTTAAATGAGTCTGAATTTTGGAACAGAAATCTAACTTTTTTTTTGTGCCAGAGATCAAATTCATGACCTTGTGCATGTCAGGCAGACACTTGTGCCTGTGAGCTGAAGCCCCAGCTCCTGCAAAATTATTTTTGTAAAATAATTTGTACTCTTTTTAAAAAAGGTTAATTGTAATCATTCTCTAAGAAGAAGGAGTTAAATAGCTTTGCTTTAAGAATATTTTTGAGTGTGATTTTTTTGTAGTAGGTAATAAATACTCAGGCAGATTGAGAGCTTCCCAAGTTAAGCAAGAAAATACATAGAATCTTGTTTGTGGAGGTTTTAAATTTGACATTTTCAGTTTTTAGCATTGTTAGAAATACTTGTTTTGTACAAGAAGGTTAAGTATTCTTTTGTGAGTATGTAAACTATTGGTTTTTCTCTGTAAAAATTTGAAATTTCTGGCTTATAACATCTTAACTTTTCTTGCTTAGAATTCATTGAAGGGGTCTCTCAGTTCAGTGTCAAAGGAGATAAGGAGCAAAAGTTGAGGTGTAAGTATTTTTTTGCAACTGACTCATTTTCTCTCTTAAACTATTACCATTCTATACTACACTGTTGCTTGCCTTTTAAAATATTCTAAAAGGTTTATTTTATTCCAGATCCTTAGACATAATGATAATTTTGTATTCTGATGAAAATTCTTCAGGGTATTCGCAGCTATCACAGTTGAATACTATGCCATTGTTTTTGTTCCTTTGTTTGTTTGAGACAGTGTCTTACTATGTAGTTTATTTAGGCTGACCTTAAACCCACTATGTAGCCTAGAACTTAAAAGCGATGATTCTCCTATGTTGGCCTCCCAAGTGCTAGGACTATAGGTATCTACCAGCATGCCTAACACCATTGTTTTTAGTTGTGTAGAAGGAAAACAATTTTAGTCCACTGAAAACAGTCATATAAATTTGGATAAGAGGGTTTTTTCCCACCAAATGAAAGTGGGAAGCAATGTTCTAAAGAACCTGAGAGGTTGGAACTGTTACTGTCTTTAATCCTATGTGAGGTTAGATAATTTAACCTACACCACACTGCTTAAGCATGTGCAGTCTTTTGACTATAATCACAGATTTAAACAGTGCCTGAGGGCAGCTTATATATTTAGCAAGGAGCCAGCCTTAGTGTCATAATTTGGGGCATTTGGCAGTTTAATTTTCTTCTCACTGGAAACATTGCCATGTGACAATATTCCCATGCGATTGCGTTAGAATCCTACTGATTTTCCTTCTTTTCTCAGTTGCTTTCCGTATCTATGACATGGATAAAGATGGCTATATTTCCAATGGGGAGCTCTTCCAGGTTTTGAAGATGATGGTGGGGAACAACCTGAAAGACACACAATTACAACAAATTGTAGACAAAACTATAATAAATGCAGATAAGGATGGAGATGGAAGAATATCCTTTGAAGAATTCTGTGCTGTAAGTATAAAAAAACTGATTCTTCCTTTGTTTGTGTTTTAAAAACATACTTTAAAAGACAACAGGAAATTTCTTGGAGGTATATGCCCTACAAATTTATATATCCAATTTTGCAAAATTGCTTCACAAAATTTAGAAGTGTATTAATTATAAATAATAGTTATTAGTTTCAAAAAACATTATGTATGGCAAACGGGTTAATAAAAAGTTTTTAAAAGATTAATATTTATAGTCATTTTCTGGTAAAATGCCACAAGAATGGAGCTAGTAACTTTTATCTATTATTGATGGTCCCTAAATTCCAAGTAGGTTATTAAGGTTTAATGTGTGGAAATACTTCTGTGGGAAATATATGTGTGTTTGTAAATTTCAGCATGTTCCTCCACATGAACAAAAGGCATAATTTTGTCTCCATTATGTTTTTTTTTTCTTCTGACTTTTCAAACTACAACAGTGAAAGAAGTGGAAAAATTATTTTAAAAGAATATGTTCTATGTTCTTTAAAGCTTTCAGAGTACTTAATATATAAATAAATTCATAAAACATTTTAAGAAATTTGTGATGTTTGGCAATGAATTTAGGACATTGAATTCATGAATGCTAGGCAAGCACTTTACCACTGAGCTGAATATCCCCAGCCTTTTGTATTTTATTTTGAGACAGAGTCTCAATAAATTGCCCAGGCTGGTCCCAAACTTGGGATCCTTCTGCCTCAGTCTCCTGAGCAGCTGGCATTATAGCTGTGCACTATCACATCTGTCTAAATAAATCTAATAAATGATTAGTGACCATTTTAAATGGGATTGAACACATGCATTTGTTTTTGCTTCCTCTCAAATTTGAATTAAATGAAAGGGTTAAACAAGGAAAAGCTGTGAACTCACAAAGACCAAATGAACAGCAGAGAAGGTTGCAGCTGAGGTTGGTTATTTAGAACGTTGAGTAGTAGCTAACCCATATATGGAATAATTGGGTCCTTGGCCTAGGACCACTGATTGTTAAGGGAACAATGACAGAGTAAAACACAGACAAGTTACATATTTTAGTTACAAGGGGCACTGGATAGTCAAAGCCCAATAAAGTTAAGGCCATGAGGCATAGTGTCCTTGGCCTTTATTAGGTGCAAGCATTATTAGGGGTTGTGCTGCTGGCCTGCAGGAAGTGGTAGGGGTGAGCTGCTGTTGAGGTCAGAGTTCAAGAATTGAGGAACAATGCATTTTTGGGTAAGCACACAGGAAAAGATCATAGTTAACTCGAAACCTGATTGTCTGTTCACTGTGACTACTCAGAAGGGATTTGCACCAGCCAAATCCTCAGCTGCCATGTTATGTTGCTTTGAGGCACCAGACCTCACAGACTGCCAGTCTCAGCTCTGGCCGTTGGCTTGAAGATTAGATTAATCTGTTCTTTTACCAGCTGCGAGTGTCACCACAAGTCACTTAGGCATAGGACAGACTTGATTTATTCTTGTGTCAATTTCTTAATTACTGCCTGTTTTGTACTGAGTCAGGCTGATCCTCAGAATTGAGTCTTTGGATTCAAAACTACTTATCACCTTAAAAATATGAGAAGCAGCTTTGTTCAAAATGCAAAATCCCTGACGGCTGAGAAATTGGTGGACGAGTAAACCTGGGGATGAAGATGAAGCTAAAAACATAATTGGTTAAAATCTGTTTGGAGAACTCATTGGAGCACTGAATTTCCTCCCTCCCCTTCTCTGTTCAGCTGGGCACCTTTCTGTGCCACACAGCAGTGAGCCCTGGGGAGAATCTGTAGGCTGGGAAAAGATGTGGCCCGGAGTTGGGGGGTTAGGTGTGCTGGGGAATTAAGTGGAAATCAGCGTATTTGCATGTTGGTATCTCTAGTCTTCTTCCTGGACCCAGGATTTATATACTCTGTAGGCAAGAGATAGAAACAATCCTGTTTAGGAAATCTTGTTTTTCCAACATGGTCCTACCAGATAACTCAGAATATTCTTGGAATCACTAGCTCCATGATACACATAAAGGTTCCAGTTCCCTCTCCAAGAAACAGAGCAAGGATCACCAAACATTGGAGGAAAAACACTACCATGTAACATAGAAACTAAAGCAAATCCAAAAAAAAAGCTTAGAAGAAACAAATTGGCATGGCAAATACAAACTTTAAGATGAAAACCTGTCAGTGTTAGCCTTGTAGATAGGATATACTGAATTCTTAGAACTGCAATTGAATAACATGTAAAAGAGATCTTGTTAGCACATACCTATAGTCCCAACACTCAGGAGGCTGAAGCTGGAGGGGATTATTGCAAGTTTTAAGGCCAGCCTGGGCTACATGGTGAGGCCCTCTCTTAAAAAAAAAGAAAAAAAAATTAGGGTTCCATTTTTAGAAGCTGTAACACCTGAATACCAAAGGATTTTGAAAAAAAACATCTGATACTGGAGACTTAGAGGAGAAAGAATTTAACTTGGCACACATTTTCAGAGGTTTCAGGCTTGGTTGGCTTGTTCCATGGCAGAAGGGTGGAGGAGTAAAGCTGTACATTCTGTGGCACCAAAAGCAGAGCACAGGGGCGGAGCACCAGCAAGAGACCTCCTCCAGGGCAGGCTCAGTGCCCCACCCCACGGGGCTTCCCTCACTGCATAACAGCGCATTCATGACTGTGCGTATCAGTGGATTAATCCGCTCACCAGCATAGCGCCTCCAGAAGCCAGTCATCTCTCCAGGAGTCTCTTGACCAGTTGAGTTGGCAATTAAGATTACCCAGAACACTTAGTATCCAGCATAGTATATAAAATAATCTGGACACAGGCACATAACCATGAAATTGAGAGACTAGTTTACAGAGAGCTGGAACAGTAAGATGGAGGCATAGGAGAGTGGCTCCATGCAAAGTCAAGAATCATTTTTTGTGGTGGGAAGGCTGTAGACAAGTGGCTGGAGCTCTTAAATCAAGAAAAAAAAGCAGCATAGAAGGTAAATAATGAACCTGAATATTTTAAGTAGTTATCACTTTAAGAAGTAGTAGAATGAGAGCAGGGTAGCAAACCACTTATTTTATAGTAAGTCTTATACAACTAATTGGCTCCTTATGCTGTTTTTAAAATAAAAAATTTTAAAAATACAGAATGTCAGTGTACACAAAAACATGAATTAATGTCATAAACAGTGTTAAATGAAATAATCTGGACTGAAAGATTTGTTTAGACAGCATACAGACAAAATTAACTCATGGCGTTAAAAGCCAGGATAGTAGCTTCTCTGTGTGCATGTGCACGCGTTGGAGTTGGGCAGGGGATGACCAGTGCCTGGAAGGGAGCTAGAGAAGACTTCTGGTAATGCTGGTTATTTGGTGGGTGTTTTGTGAAACTCATCAAGCTATGGACATTTATCATTCTTTCCCTCTATATAGGTTGTATGTAATACAACATTTCAGAACAACACAGATGCTGGCGGAGGGTTTAGCTTAGCAGCATAAGCACTTGCCCTGGCAAGCACAAGGTTGTGAGTTTGAACCCCGGTCACACCCCCCCCCCCCAAAAAAGCTTATCATACTTTTAGATTAACATGTCAGTATTCCTTGAGATGTATAAAATTTCATAGGAAAACAATGTATAGAAAATTATATTCATTTGGACCTTTTTAATACCTTACACTACAGATGGAAAAGGCCACATTTAGTTTTTGAGGAGTTTTTATGGTAACATCTGATTATCATATAAAATACTAGAGTATAGGAATCAGCGAACTATAGAGCAAGACAAATTCTGCACATGGCCTAAAGTTTTGTGAATTTTTTAGTGTTGCTTAAAAAGAAAAAAAAGAAAATGCAGAAGAAATTCTAAGTAGCATACAGAACTCAAAATACTTGCTGAACTTCCACAGAGCAAGTTTGTGGACGCTGGGATTAGAACACAAAAGTGTCATGCCTTTATCCTAGATAGAAGAAGCCATGATTTTTTTTTTTTTTTTTGCTACCAGGGATTGAACTCAGGACCTCATGCTTGCCAGGCGGATGTTTATGCCACTAGCTAAATCCCTGGCCCTGAAGCCATGAAATTTTTGCAGGAGAATCAGTAAAGATTTCTTTGTAAAAATCCAGCTTCTGATAATAGCTAAAGTAGTACATTTATTTTTTTGTTTTTTGTTCTTTGGTACCGGGGATTGATCTCATGACCTCATGCTTACCAGATAAGCACTTGAGCCACTGAACTAAGCCACTGGCCCTAACACAGTGTTTTTAAATTGCACTTTTGGTAAGATTGCTTAACTGTGAAAGTGACATTTCGCAACTGTTAAGCTTTATTTGTTCTTGTCTGTCACAGGTTGTAGGTGGCCTAGATATCCACAAAAAGATGGTGGTAGATGTGTGACTCTTTGGAGTACCACCCAACACTTTTGCTTTCTTCTCCATCTCTGAAGATCTGCTCAAGACGTCCAGCAATGCTCTCTGTGTATTTAAATGGAAGTATTTTTCTCTGTGAAGCCACATTTTCCAACATGAGCCTCATGAAGCCAACTAAGTGTTATTGAACTTTTCTTCTCTCAATAACTCAGTGTAGCACTTTAAAGTCTGAAGGACAGCAGCATGGAACGAGCATATCAATGTGGCGGAGAAAGGGAAGGGGTTGGCTTTTTAATTTATTTTTCTTCATCTTTTATAACAAGAAAGTATCTATATATACATATGTAAATATTTATATATAGATATATGTAGCTTTCTATGTATGTAGTAGGTTGGCTTTAATTTAATATACTTGATTCAGAAACAAAACGATAGAGTACAAAAGTGCCAAGCAGAACATAAAACATCCTTACTTTTATTTCACACAGTTTTATATGTAGATAGAAGAAGATTGTACAATTTGAGCCCGGTGTTAGGCCAGCTACTTACCTGTGCTTTCTCCTCTGAGAGATTGACAAAGCATTTGTTAATGTCCTCTTATTTACCTTAATTACATTTTTGTAACAAAGGAGTCTGTAACTTTATTTATACCTATGAATATATTTCCTGGGACTATGTCTCATTGCTGAGCAGCTTTTAGTCCATCTCTGGCTGAAGAGAACATATAGTTCTGTGCTGCTGCCAAGAGCTAGTTCTTGTATTCATATGTAACTGCACAATGCTATGGCTGCTTCTTTCTGTTACTTTGTAACTAGGAGGCATTGCATTTATTAAATGTCCCTGAGTAATTGTAACTTACCATTTGTGATTTTATACATAAAAGCCAGAGCTGTCTGAGGCAATCATGACTTCTCTTCGCATTACTTAATGAAGAAAACCTGAAGTCATCTTGTAACCGCTTAGGATAGCCATTTGTCATTAAACTGGCATTTGGCCCATACATTTTTCTTATGTGTTTCAAAAGATTTGCAGCTAATCTAAAAGACTGGTGATAGTTAATGTGCTAATCAAAACTGGTAATGTTTATATATCCAAATGCCCTCCTGTATTTGTATTTAAATGGAAGAAATACTGCTAGTCTATATGCCACAGAAGAGCAGAATTTCATCCAGATTTACACTTCTTAAATTTCTTTATCACAAGGCATAGAGGGCGCATGATTTTTTTGTTTGCCCATATGATTGTTAATAAATAATAAATTTGTGTGATTTAAAAGTAGTCTATCATGTTCCACCACTTGATGTTAACCCTTCCCTTTTCTGCGAAGGTACTATTGGCTGGAAGAAAAACATTTTGGTTTGCTTCAGTGACAGTAGTCTTTCCCTATACGGTTTTGCTATAAGACTGGTTTTGTAATCATGAATGGCTAAAGGCAGGTTGAATCCAGTGACCGGAACTTACATTGAGCATGCCTGCCTGCCACCGCTGCTCCTTCAGCTGAGTGCTGCACATCATGGGCTCTGTCTGTGAGAGGAAAATCCCGGTGCTTGGTGTCCTTGCATGACATGGAGTTTTGCATGTAGATCGATTTAAAATGTACCTCTTGTTTACATAATTTGCATAATTTTAAAAGATAATGTTGCCAAACTTTGGAAATGTTAATGTTCAAACTGAAAATCTCCACTACATGTAACTTTCTTCCTCTGGATCAGTACGTGGCTTACAATCCCGGCCCGTGGTTTGATCTGTTCCAGTGTCAACTGCCATGTGCTCTGCTTCAAGGGGGAACTAGTCTTTTGTGAATTTTTTTGTACATAATTGTTACAAATATTTTAGCAAATGCTTTCTATTTCTCTTGCTTGTGCATATCTTGGCTGGCGTTACAGAAAAATAGTGCAAACATTATTATTTCCTTACTGGGGAATGAGGGTTTTTCTTTTCTTTCCTTTTTTTTTTCCCCTTTTTTCTTTTTCCCCTTTTTTAGTTGGTGTGTAGGGGTGGGTAGGGAGGGATGGTTTATGTTGAATGTTTAGTTTTTCTTCTGCATGATACGTCATGTTGTGGGATCTTTAGAAAACTTCATACTGTATGAATAAGAAAATAAAATATTTGAAACTTGCTTGAATGCATTCCATGTTTGATGAACTTCCATAGCTATAAGACAGTTTCTCTTCATTGCTTGTATGCATTTTAAAAACTCAAAATGAAATCATAGCCAAAGCTGAAGTCAGTGAAGCCCCGCAGGACTCCTCCCATCCTTACCTCCCTGACCTCATCTCATCAGCCTTCCCTTTCCCTGCCCTTCTCCACCGTCAGGGGGCCCCTAAAGCTTTTGGTTTGTGCTCACCTTAGAACTGAGCATTACAGATTATTCAGTAGCTAGTGTCTTCACATCTTTGATCAGATATGTCTGGCTCAAAAAGAACTCTCCTGGCTACCTTACTTAAAAATACAAATACACATGATTGGGTCGTAACTTGCTCAGTTTTGTTTTGTTGTCCTTTTTCGATAGCATTTGTTTCTGACATTGTTTGACTGATAGCTCCAGTTTTTCATAATATCTAGCTTTTCATGTTGGTGCAATAAGCATTAAATAAATGAATTAAACCAGTGAGTTTTATAGTAAATCCCTTTCAGTTGTTGTCGCTATACATGAAAAGTGAAAATGGGTATACTTCACATTTTTAATTGAATGGGGTGTCTACTTCATATTCAGCACTAGTAGATGCTTAAGATACTAAGGTAAGTGATATCCCTGTCTTAGGGTAAGTTAAGGTATCTTGGGTATGTTTAGGACCTAGAACACCTATACTGTCAGGATTGCCCTAGTCACGACAACCTAGGCACTGGGTTTTGTGGTTTCTTAGAGTATCCTATGAGTAGGACAAGCCTAAAGCAAATAACACATTTCAGTTTAAGCCTTAGATTGCCTAGGAGGTGGATAAGCCTAAGCAAATTCAGTATATGCATTAAAGCCTTAGATCTATTTCTTGGAGAATTTCTTTTAGAGTATACAAGTGCTGGTGTAGTGGCATAAACCTATAATCTCAGCACTGAAGTAGGAAGGTTACAAATTTGAACTTTGGGCTGGTAGTTTACCAAGACCCTGACTCAGAAATCCAGCCAGGTGAGATGGCACATGTCTATAACTAATCACCAGCTGCTGAGGCAGGGTTTGCTGATGCAAGAGGATCGTCATGCGTTTGAGGCCAGCCAGGAACAGCTTAGCAAGACCCTGTCTCAAAAAATAAAGAGCAGAGGATGTAACTTAGTGCAAAGGCCTGGGTTTAATCTCAGTATGAAGAAAAGAAAAAACATTTTTCAGAGTAAAATGGCAAAACATAGGAGTGATACTTCGAAACCGTAAATGCTAAAGGATTGATGCTTAGAATGTACCTACAACTCAACAGTATCAAAAACCTGATTAAAAACCAAGGGACTTGGCTCAGTGGCATAAGCACCTTGCAAGTGCAAGGTCATGAGTTCAATCCCTGGTACCAAAAAACAAAACACATAATTAAAATATGGACAAAGGACTTGAATACTGCAAAAATACACAAACGGCAAATCAACAGCACTTAGGCAAATGCACAGATGAAGCCATGAGATGCCACTTTGCACTCTGGATGGGTTATCACTAAAAATTAAACCTTAAAAAATGCCAGGTGTTGGCTGGGAAATACAGAAATGAAAATTCTTCAGTGTTGCTAGTGAAAATGTAAAGTGGTGCAGCATTACCCTGGGGCATTAAGTCAAAATACTGAATCTCTATAATCCAGTATCAGTACACTTCTGGGTGCATATGTATCCAAATGAAGTAGACAAGGACTTGCTTGTATACCTATGCTCTCAGCACCAATAGCACAGTATTTTTAGAGTTCAGATCAATGGATAAAGAAGTATACATTTAGCCACATGAAACTGACATGCTGTTACTTGGATGACCGCGAAGATAAGTGGCATCAATGTCCTTCGATACCAGTGAAGTGAGACTGCTGACGTTATAAAATAGTAGCATGCAAGTTGCCAAGTACTGGGGGAATGGAGAAATACATGTTAAAATTATGGGTAGAAACCAGGTACAGTGGTAGATGCCTGTGATTGCTACACGGACGGTGAGCAGGAGGATCACAAATTTGACAGAGCAATTTAGAGAGACCCTGTCTCAAATTGAAGAAAGGGAAGGGGGCTCAGTGCTAAAAGGCACTGGGTTCAATCCCCGGTACTGCCAAAATGAAAATGGGTAAGATTTCAGTTAAGGAGGAAAGTTCTGGAGAGGGATGGTAGTGATGTTTCCACATGAACTTGAGTGTCACTGAGTGGTTAGTGGGACGTCACTCATACTGGGAGACAGAGGCAGGATCATGAGTTTGATGACAGCCTGGGCTACACAAGACCCTATCTCAGAAAAAGGTAGTAAGCTTTATGTGTAGTTTAGTACTACTTTTTAAAGATGAGTAGACAAGATAGTGAAGAATTGCAACTTTTATGTATAGTTTCTAGAACTTGCAAAGAAAATGGCACAAGATTTTTAATCATGTTCAAAAACTCATACTCTAAATTCACTGTATTAGCTAATGTGTGTGTGTGTGTGCGCATGCGCATGTCAAGAACCCCGTCTGGCTTGCAAGTGATCTTCCTGCCTGCCCCAGCCTTGTGAGTGCTGGGATTATAGCTGTGCACCACCACAGCTGGCAGCTCAACGTTTAAATTTACTGCTAGTTGAGCTTTTCCACTTCCTGTAAATACTAAATCTAACAACTAGATCAAATGGGTGAGTCAGGCCTCCCTAACCTGTTTTCTTTGACCAAATAATTGATGTATGCACAATGCAAGTATTACAAGTTGTAATAGTTATGTGTTGTTAGTGGATACTTTCAGTAATCTTAACATTAAACATGCTATCTTAACGTTAACATAACTTTTAAGACCAGGAAAATTAGGTGTTTCCCAATAAACATGAACTTTCTTCCCTACCCAGGCCAGGAAGCACGAGAGTTGGAAGCCAAATCTTTCTGGAATGACTTGGTTAGCCACTTAAACACTAAGAAAAAACTCTTGTCTTAGGCCCAGTCCCTCAGGAAATGGATGAATAACGCTGTCAGTGAAGTGTACTGTCAAAGTTGTGACAGGTGGAGTATTGGAAGATCCTAGCAGTCTTCGGTAGTTGTAGACAGTAACTGGGATAAGCAGGACTACTGCAGAAACAAAGATAACACACAAGGGCGGAGGTACTGTTTGGCCTTAGCATTGAAGGGACTTAACTTGGTACTAGAATGTCAGAACAGCTACTAGTGTTAATCTAACGTATTACCTCTTTGTCCATTCACTATCGTTTTTTAAAACTATTTTTATTTTAAAGAAAAAAATTTCAAAACACAATTAGGGGTAACAATGGTATATACATTGCACAGTATCTTCCATCAGTTACTCAAGAGTACAAGAGGTCTGCATTTAATCATCTGAACAATACCAACACAAACCTTTCTCCTCAATGAGCTCACAGAAATCAGTAGTGTAACTACCTTTTATGAATAGTCTCAGCTTTTCATACTAGTGTGAGGATACGATGTTTACATCTATCTCACTAATGAGTATGGTCTCAAGTTGCTTCCATTTACTAAGTCACCAGTTTATCTTTGTGGCTGCGTAGCACTCCACTGTATAAAAATACATCTTTTTTATCTATTTCTCAGCTGATGGGCATTTAGGTTGTTTACAAGATCTAGCTATTAAAATTGTGCTGCAATGAACGGGTGCACGTATGTTGCTATAGTATGATGTTTTTTATTCTTCTGGGAAGATACCCAGAAGGGTAATAGCTGGATTGAATGGGACCTCCAATCATAGTTTTTTGATAACTCCATACTTTTCCATAGTGGTTGCACCAGTCTGCATTCCCACCCACAGTGGAGAGTGCTCCTCTTTCCTCACAGCCCCTCCAGCATTTGTTATTGGTTGATTTAAGATAAAAGTCATTCTTTCTGGCGTGAGGTGTAAACATATGGTTTTAATTTGTTTAATTTGTTTTAATTTGCATCTCGAATGACCAGCATTCACTACTATTCTGAGAATTAGTTGAAGCTCTTCTAACATTTTGGTCTCCTTTTCAAACTCGCAGAAGATTAAAAATATTGACCTTTAATGATCATTTTGACTTTGGGGAAAACCAGAAGTCACACATTGCCAAGTTAGGTAAGTAAGGTAGATAAGAACATACTGTAATGCTTGCCCTAAACATTCTGAATCGTTTCAAATGAAGTAGCCACAAAAGCACAACTATAGGTTCATAAAAGACTTCCAGACTTGCTTTAGAGTCGCAAGAAAGAGTTCAAAGTGAGGGCAGTGCAGGGATTAATGGCAAGTCTTACTGTAATAAATAAATGTTTAAAAACAGTTCCCATGTCCATTATAACTTATTAATGATGTAGAACAAACAGAAACTTAAGACTTCAGTTCTAACATGAACTTTCTGCTAATACCATCAAAATTCTGGTCAAGGGGTTTTGACATAAGCAACAAGATGCAGTATCAAAATCACATTTCATTTGAAGTAGGCTCCTTCCATTTAAAACATGAGTAAAATTTTCAGATCACATTCAAATAGACTTTAGTTAACAGAATCTTGCTTTTGCAGGACACAGTAGTATCCTGAGAAGGAAAACACTTTAATCACTTAACCTTTACTACTTAGAAAAAGTATACTAATGTTGTAACATCTGACTACTCATTAAGTACTATATTTGAAAAATAAAACCTGCCCTCGCATCAGTTCTGTGATGCAAGGCTTTAATTTTACAAACTATAAAATAGGTAGAGGATTCGCACTTACTGGTTTAGATACTACAGCCAAAAAATCCTGACTCGATTCTAAAATATCACACAACATATTAAGGAAGGGTCATGAGTCACAGGCTTTGACATGATTCTTTTACTTATAATTTACAGACCAGAAATGTTTATAAATTTATAAATAAACCCAAAATTTATATAGAACTGTATATGCAATGTTTCCTCTAAATAAGAGGATTCTAAATTGCAAATCTGCTTCCTGTGACTTAAAAGGAAAAATATACATTATATTTTGATACTTTTTCTTCACTTGGTTTTGTGTGACCACCTGCAGAGTAGAGGGTCTTTTTCTTTACAGAGTCCAAACATAAAAGTCTCTGATTGGAAATCAGAACCGATCTGCTGCTCTGCTAGCTACAGCTCGAATATTGCCATAAACCTTCGATGGAGGATTTCCTATAAAGGAAAAAAAAGTTAGCAATACATACATATATATAAATAGCTTTCATACATAAACTACACTGACAAGGGTCCCCACTCTTAATAACTCCAGCATTTGGGAAGCTGAGGGAGGACTGCTAGCTCTAGCCCAAGCTGGGCAATTAGCAACTTAGTGAAACTGTCACAGAACCAAAAAGTGAGCTGAGGGTAGAGCTCTGTGAGCACTTGAATAACATGCGTGACACACTGGGTTCAATCCCCACTACTGCAAAAAAGAATGAGGACAGTTTCTTATTAAATTTTAAAATATATTACTGGGGACTGAACTTGGGAATACTAACCACTCCCAGCATGTTTGTTTGTTCATTCATTCACAGAGTTTTGCTGAGCTGCTCGGCTAGTCCTGAATTTCAGACCCTCTTGCCTCAGCCTGCCAAACAGCCGGTTGACAGGGTTATGCCACAGTACCTGGCTTATCACAGCTATATTATATGAAATCACTAACAGAACCTTATAGAAAATTATAGTTATACATTTTCTAAACTTTTTTGAAGAGCCAAAAGCACTATCAAAATTATGTAAAAAGAAGCCAGGCAGTTGGCCCTGGGCACCAAGGTTTTCTGAGCATGCAGCTTCGATGCTGTAACTTGGATTCAGTGGATCAGTTAAAATGATTGAAGCTGTTCAGCAGTTTCCTTTCAGCTCAACCTAAAATGTGATGTTCCTTGCTATTTCTGTGCACTTCCTCATGGGAAAGCAGCAGAGATTTCAGCAGTGTTATCTAATAAACCTTCTTTACCTAGCCAATAGAATCTCAATAAAATAACCTCTCCCTTCAAACTCACCAACTCCTGAGGGTTTTGAATTGTATCTTTAACACTACCCTGAAGTTGATTTATAAATGTCTGAATTTCTAAATTTCCCGTTCTTTCCAGACAAAACATCAAAGAAAGAAACTGCAGTTACCCAGGATGAGGTTGCAAATGGCAGTCCTTGCCATCTTGATGTTTTGGAAAGAGCCAAGGATGTGAACTTTCCTGAAAAAGATAAATTGAAGCAAGTTCCTAAGTTAGCTATGAAACCCGTTTCTTTACCTAACTCCTATAATCTAAAAACTCTGGAAAATCTCTAATAGACCTTAATAAAGGTGGGGTGATGCTGTAAAACTCTGTAAATATCCTAAATTCACTCCTGAAAGGCATGAATCTGATGCTACGCAAATTCTATTCCAATAAAAAATTATTAGAAAAGACAAAAAATTAAAAACAATCCAAGATTTTTAAGATTTTTGGTCGACAGGAGCTACTTACTATCCAGTGCGTGGTTTTATGTTAGAACTCTACACACATTTCCACTTTATGCTCACGGAAGTTTTATAAGGTAGGTGTTACTTCCATAGTACATGATCAAGAAATGTAGGGCTGGGGATGTGGCGTAATGGTCCAGCATTTTTGTAGCGTATGTAAGCATGCCGATCGGCAGCAATGTGAGAAAACAAAACCAAGAACCCTGTCCTCCATGCTGCCAGAGCTGGTCACAGAAACACAGTGATACTTATTTTCAGGTTTAACTGCAACACTTATGACTCAGATAATTCAGAATTTTGCCTCGAGTTCATTTTCTAACATGTTTCCACCACGCCTTCCACACGAGCAATGAATGACCTAAAGCCTCTCTATCTTCCGCTAACCCTTCACCTTTCTATAACTAAAACATACCTCTCAAATGGAGGCCGGTTTTCACATCTTCACACGGATTAAAAACACAAATCTCTATGTGCTCCTTCCACAAATGCCACTAAAATGACAGCTCTAAGACATAACACCAAAAGAAAGAGGATGACGACAGTCGAGAACTCCCCCGTGGTGGAAAGCAGATGACATAGAAATGATTTCCTGGATCCGAGTGAACTGACAGCTACCTCAGCAATGGGAGTATCCAGAAGCCGAGCTCCAGGACAGAGATGCCAAGAAGCAGGCTTTCCAATAGCAAAGAGGCAGTGGAGAAAGGAGAAGCCAGCCTGATGGCCAGACAGCAGGGTGCTTTTGGAACAGAAGGCTCCAGGGGAGATTTCAGAAACACTGGAGGCATCCAAATATACGAAGAGGAGGTAGAGCAGGTGTACAGCTCTTTTGTGAATTAGTACACTGAAAATTAAGAAAGCACGGGGCTGGGGATTTAGCTCAGCGGCATAAGTGCCTGCCTTGCAAGCAGGCAGTCGTGAGTTCGATCGCCGGTACCCATAAAAACAAAAAAGACAAAAAAAAAAAAAAAAAAAACAGAAAGCACACTAGCAAATAAGAATTAATTCTTCAAGTGGAAGTAAAGTGGCAAAGGAGACATACCACCTGGCTCATCTGTGAACACACCCAGCACTGAGTATTTCTGTTTTAAGGCAAAACTGAGCCCTGCTTTAATGAACACAAGGTGGCTCAGTCGGGAGGAATAAGCTGACGTGCTAAGAAAACGGAGCGTGTGGGCGTGGCCAGAAAATGTGGCGAAGAAAGCAGAGTATCTTTCATGGTGGAAAGTAATAAATCTAGAAAATAGACCGAGAAGCTGTATATAAAGGTATTTTGAAATACTGAGATAGTTTCTTTTTCCATACAAGAGTCTCCCAGTGCTGTGCAGCCCAGCCTTAAATTCACGACCCTCCTGCCCCAGGCTCCTGAGATGTGACTGCAGAGTACCGCACCACTGCACCCAGACAAAGGTAAGTCACTTACGAAGCTGTTTAATAAGAAAGCGGAAACTAGCTTTCCTCAGGAGGGTGAAATGGAGACATTCAAACCACATGTATGTCACACTTTGCTAAGACTATAATTATTTAAAATGCATTACAAAAATGTTAAAGAGATGAAACCAAAAATAAGTACTCTGGCTACCAAAAGAACCAAAGTAATGTCAGTAATTAGAAAGAAAGACAGGTCTCAAGGCACACAGGCACCATTATCTCTCATGTGGTACTGACTGTACTTTTAAATCTTGCTCACATTTTACTGTTACTAGTAACTCATCAAAACTACACTTACAGGTGCATAATACTCCATCGTACAGGTGTTTGTAATTAATATAAATTGTTAAATGAGTAGATTTCCAATTAGTGTGTTTATAGCAAAAATTAACTTCAAGTAGTTTATAATTCAACTTGTAAGAAAAATACAAAAGCTATTAAAATTCCACAGCAATTCATAAATGGTCTCCAAATGAAATAAGCCAAATGCCCATCAACTGTGAATACAATGCAATGGAATAACACTTGACAATAAAGTAGAACCACTGAAAACACAGCAGAAGGGGATGTGAAACAACACACTAATTACCAACGAAACTACATAGAGAAGTCTATATACTATGTTAATTCCACTTGTGTGAACTTCTTGAAAAAGCAAAAGCATAGTGAGAGAAAGCAGCGATGTCCTAAGGCCAGACGGGGAGGGGACTGACTGCAAAGACGGCTGGGAACGTTCAGGGTGCTGGGACAGAAGAAGCGTGCCGTGTCAGGGCTGCAGAACAAGGCTACACTCGCTAACTCACAGAACTACACACTTAAAATAGAGTTTTATTATATATTTGTTAGGCCGTAAGAAACTACTAAAACAAATTTAACGAAGACTTCCAGGGCTGCAGGGTGTGGTGGCTCATGCCTGTAATCCCAGCACTCGGGAGGCTGAGGTGGGAGGATTGTTGCAACTTTGAGATCAGCCTGGGCGACAAAGTGAGCCCAAGGCCAGCCTGAACTGCACAGCGAGACCCCGGGAGCGGGGGGGGGGGGGCCTTCCAGGGCTATATTCAGTATTTAAAACATAGTACACACATCCACATTTTTCAAATGTCTAGTAGAAGAAAACCTCCACAGTTCCTATTTGAAACTTTAGGCTCAGTCTATATAAGACCAAAAATACGAGCAAAAGTAAGAAGCTATTAAGTGAATTATTTTCTTCAGTTGTAAGCAGGCCGTTCCCATTAGGCACCTGCTTCCTCTGCCAACTTCACAGTATTATGCAAGCTCTGGGTCACGTATTAGTAAGATCAACCTGGCAGCTGAGCCACCTCGACCCCGCAGAGAGGTAATGCCAGCTGCACCTCTGCCACCCTGACTCTCACTTTAAGTCCATCCATATCATCTTACTTATGTTCATGTAAAACTGCTTGATAGCTTAACCAGTATGCAACACTCATCTTCCTTTTATGAGAGGCCTTGAGAACACAGATATTTACACATGCCTATGTTACCATATATCTACATGGACCTATACAAAACACACATAGTACTTTAAATAGGAAACCCTCATAAGTTATTTGGAGCACCTACTACTTGACCTCTCCTACGACTTAAAAGGTACCTCTATTGAAATCTTCATTTATAATTTCTTTTTAATAGCAACTCTAAACATTTCCTTCATTGCTAACAAAAACTACAATTACTGAAATTCTCTTAACTTAATCTCATTTCAAAATAGGTGACTGTTCATCCAGACACGTGTACTGACAAAGATTTAGTGGCAACATTACATATAACACATAACTGTTGTGAGAAGAATTTTCACAAGATCAAAAACTTACACATCAGCCAGAACTATTCGTGTTCGTGTCACATTCTCTATGGTGAATTTGGTTTTTCCTCCTTTGCCAGCAATTCTTCCTATTGCCCTTGACAGGTGGTCTCCCTTCAGAGGCTTAACTAAAAGAGAAAAGTGAGATGTCATCTGACAAGCTGCTCCAGTGTGCTGCCACTGCCACCTAGTTTTTTTTTAGGGGAGGGACCAAGAATCAAACACACAACCTCATGATTGCCAGGCAGGCGCTGTGCTGCTAAGCTATATACTCAGCCCCCATAAAATTTAATTATTAACTAAATGAGCATTTTTTTTTTAAAGGGCTAATAGCAGCTCAATTGATGCTGTTAGAAAATTGAGAATCAAAACACAACTGGCAAGCCGAGCATGGTGACACACGCCTGTAATTCCCAGCACTTGAGAGGCTGAGGCAGGAGAACTGTCGTGAATTCAGACCAGCCTGGACTACAAAGTGAGCTCAAGGCCACCCTGAATGAGAGTCTGCTCACAAAGACAAAGAAAACAAATAAAACCAAAAAAAGAACACAACTGGCAGACAGGCGTGGGTGGCACACTTCTGTAATCCTAGCATTTGGGAGGCTAAGGCAGGAGGATCGCTGCAAGTTTGAGATCAACCTGCGCTACAAAATGAGCCTAAGGCCAGCCTGAACTGTATAGCAAGACCCTGTCTCAAAAAGATAAAAACAAAACGAAACAAGCCCACCCCACAATCGGCAAGAGAGAACGATTTTTCATAGAAGACCATCACAAACTTACCATCTGTAATTTCAAAAGACTCTAGAAAGAGGTCATCCAACCTGATGAGGGCAAGTGCATCCTGGAATATAAAAATAAACACCATGAAGGGCCTTGCATCGTTAAGACACAGTACTTGAGAATGAGTGACATGCCAAGCAATTGGATAACAAACTCTAGGGCTAGAACATTCATATTTAAAAAACGACTTATCCATTGAACTGTCTACACTAAATATTTTTCTGGCTGGCTGTAGTGGCACAGGCACAGGCCTGTAATCCCAGCACTTTAGGAGGCCACGGCAGGAGGACTGCAAGATTAAGCTCAGCCCTTTCAACTTAGTGAGCCCCGATTTCAAAATTTTAAAAAAGGGCTGGGGATACAGCTCAGTGTGAAGGTGCAAACCTTAGTGTCCCCCCTCCCAATTTACTTTGAAGTCCCCACTATGGATGTCATGCACTCACTCACCTCCACCTGAAATCCAAGGATAAAGGCCTTTACAAAATCAGCTGCTTTTGTCAGAGCACTTGCATCCTTGGTTTCTTTACAAGTCTGAAAACAAAAACAAAACACAGATACAAACTTACAGAGAGCAATGAAAAAAAAAATACTCTAATACAAGGCTAACAATACTTTCCACATTATTTTAATTTGTCACCACTATCCTTTGGCCAGATAATCTGGATAAGTCAATTTTAGTGGGACAATCACTGGCTTTTATTTGCAAAACAAACTCTTTCCACCTATGGTAGGCGTTTCTACCCAGTCAAATGACAGAATACACTATGTGACTATCAGACTTTGGGGTTAACTGCAACGTTTCTCTGGCACAGTTCAAAACCCACTCTCTGCAGGACCTCCATCATGTCCATCCCTTCAAACATACCAGCTGGTCCTCTTCTCTTCTCCCTCTAAGAAATCTTTCTTGGGAGTTCTGACCTAGTCTTTTGACGTCAATCATCATTTATCTGCTGATGGTTCCCAAATTAACAAGTTGGGTTCCAGGTGCTGAAGGAGAAACCAAGTAGATTCGGCCCTCAATTTCGTCAATGACTACAGAAATAGCTGATATTTATGAAATGCCTTCCACTATAAATACAATAAATGCCGTACATGTCTCAACTGTCATCTTCAAGAGAACCTTGAATGCCAGGTGCTATAAATTTATATGTGAGGAAATTAAGTAATAAAAAGTGAAAAAGAGTAAGATGCAAACAAATCTGATTCTATTTCTACTCTCCCACCCATATTCACTATTTAGATGAGAACCACATATTTGACAAATTTAAAACCATACAGAATTGTGTAACAGGAAAGCACCTGGAACTTTCACATTTAAAATCAAATTCCAGTTCCAACCCTATTGTGTAATGATGGCAAGTCTCATGGATACGCTAAACCTTAAAATGTCTCATCTCTAAAATCAAGAGATCACATTGGAGGATCCTGAGTGGTTGCGCCTCACATCACCAGCCTGATGACTTTGGCCAAGATACCCCACTTCTTTGACCTATTTCTTCACATCTGTAAAAGGATCTACATCATAGAGTTCTCCTAAAATGGCAGAATACCACTACAAGTTTGTACACGGCAGCCTAACAAATATTAGCGGAATCCAAACCGGTAAGTTTGCAACAAATAAAGACAACCAAGCACAACAAAAGTTGGACACTGAAGAAATGACTTGAAAAGGACTTTTAGTGGAGAAGAACTTTAGCTAGATCTTAAAAGGTGATGGAATAAAGTAGGAACAGGAGTGGGGAGAAGAAGTCCTCGTCAAAGCAAAGCCATCAGTGTGAACATAAAAAATGGTGCGAGACGAACCTGTGTCTCAGTTTCCTATGTGAAAGGCAGACACAGTCAGTCACTTAATGTTTATCGTGCGGGAGATGTCAGGATGTCATAATAGAAGCACTGTGCTCTGCAAAAATTAATATGGCACTGTCACAGAAGATGGAGTGGAAAGAGGAAACTTAGATAATAATGCAAGGGAACTCTTACAAGGAAACAGTAAGCCTTGGCGTGAAATTCTAAAAGCCTGTATTAGAGTGGCAATGGGAACAAAGATAGGGTCTATCAGTCACATCCTTTAACATTTTAAACGTCATTTACTGTTTAGAGTACTGCCTCTCTGTACCATGATTTTAGTCCATTCATACCAGTACTGCCAACGCTATACTAATCTTCAAGAAGGAAAAATGCCCTTACATTTGTTACTCACATACTTTATTCATAGGTATTGCCAATACTCTGGCAGGATTTCAGAATCAATTTATGAATTCTGTTAACATTTGTGTTGAAAGTAGATTTTGAAGGCGTTTGGTTAAGTTGAATTTACTATGACGTTGAAGAAAACCATGAAACAGAGTAAATTCCGTTAAGGAAAATCTATTCGTGTATCTTGGTTCAAGGAGAAAAATCTAGTATGTTTGGAACTGGTTGACATTCTCCTTACCCTGATTTCCACATTTCTTGATTTCAAGTTAAAGCGTATCTGCAGTCCCAAATGTTCTACAATAGGAGTAAATATCTTCAACCAGTTCTCTTTTAACGGCGTGTATCTGTTAGCTGGAACTGGAATTTTCCGTGTTTCTTCCTTCCCATTCTGCAATTAAAGAAACAACACAGAAGTCCTGGACGGCTGTGAATGGAGTTGTATGACAGCCGAACCACAAAAAACTGCCCTTAGGTAAGTCAGTTAAAACTTCAGAAAAGTTACTTTTCTAAGACCCTCACGGTAGAAGAGCCCCTCCCAGCTTCGACATCATCCAGAGACCACAATCTTGACCCGCCTGTGGCCCCTGCTCCGATTCAGTGCCAGAGTTCCCGACAGTACCAAGAGTCCGTCCCCGGTGAGGGGCGGGAAGACGGGCCTCTTCGCCGGCTGGGACTCCTCCGTGTCCATGCGGCCCGCGTCCCCACTCTCCCCCGCTTCGGACAACTGCTCAGACTTTCGCTTCTTCGCCCGCCTGGCACCCTTTCGGATGACTTGGGTGAAGCCCTCCTCTGCCCCCGCATGCTGTGTCTCCATCTCGGCCATCTCCAAACCCAGGAAGTGCTTTTAACTAGCACGTGCGGCACTGTATCGCGCAGGCGCACTGAGCAGGCGCAAGCCTTCGCCAATCAACCCTAGGCCTCCGCCCCTCCTGAAGTCCCACACTAGGGGTCCTGAAGTAGGATTGGTCCGTATGTCTGCCCGGGCCCTTCCAACGTGTGCCTGATTTTTAGGGTCGCCCTCCGAACACGCAACTCACAGCCAAGCCACTCGTAATCACTAGCGTGTATATGAGCAAAATTAGTGGGTAAAGGCTCTGATAAAATGTGGTCTCCCGTGGAGAAACAACTTGTGTGTTCTCGGGAACACATCTGGCATTATTGAAGATAACTAAATGCAATTCGCTAAGGCATCATTGGGCCAGAGTACGGCAAGTGGATAGGGCCAACTGTAGTTAAGTTTTGAATCTGGTCTCTAGGTTAGTGTTTTCCCGGGGTCTTGGTGTGTGTCGGTTGCTGGAAGTGAAAATAGGCTAGAGCATGTCCGCTTTCGAGAAGCCTCAAATCATTGCCCATATCCAGAAGAGCCTCAACTACACAGTGTTTGACTGTAAGTGGGTGCCCTGCAGCGCCAAGTTTGTGACCATGGGCAACTTCGCACGGGGAACCGGAGTAATTCAGCTGTACGAGATCCAACATGGGGACCTGAAGCTGCTTCGGGAGGTGGGTTCCGGGTCGAGACTGCCCAGTTCCAGGCTCTGGACTGCCTTTGTGGGCAGTTGCCCCACAGCCCCCTACTCTGTTTGCCACAGCATTCGCCCTGTGTACCCTGAAAGCATAGCTCGAGCATCGAGAAATGCGTCGAACATAAAACCTTGCTTTCGAGTCCTGAGGTCTTATCGTGAGTTTGTACCTCTGTGCCCTGTCGACCCCTTTCACCTGCCACCCACAGTGCAGTGCAGGACTGCACAAAGTGGGAAGGGACGCCAGATTTCATGTCTAAATTAGAGAACTATTTAGTTTACAGTAATTTGTAGAAAGTTTTCGTGCGTCCGTGTAATGCTTATCTGGAAGCATAGCTAACGCACGCACTGGGATACTCATGGTGTAGCTAAAGACGACAACCCAAAACACTTTCGACAAATGTTAAGTGCCCGGTATTCCCAGACATGGGAGTGGCAATGTTGCAGATCTCACGAAGTTTGATTTTTTTTTTTAGTGGATGACACGTTTAGTTTAATAAAGATGCATAATTACTAGCTAAGGTAAGTTCGTTCACACAGAGAACACTTTGGTGAGGGAAAACATACTTAGGATGAGTAGAAACTAGGCCAAAGAGGGCGAATTTTCCAGAGGAAATGGGACGTGCAAAAAAATTCATTAATGGGAAAAAGTTTATCTCCTCAAGAAATATGGCGAGTAAGAACCAGGCATTGCAAAACCTGTAGGACATTTAAAGACTTTTACAAGGAAAAATAGGTCTTTGAAAGGCTTTTAGGAGGGTATGATAACAGATTTACAACCTTTGTGTCTAGATCACTAATGAAAGGTTTAGAAGATAAAGATAATAACTAGCATTAAAAAGTGTTATTTGATAAGTTACCCAGGCTGGAGCTCTATGATCCTCCTAGCTCAGCTGCCTAAGTAATGCTGGTATTACAGTTGCAGACGCAATTTCTTAAATATTATATTTAAGAATATAAGTTTCTTAAATACTATAAATTTCTTAAATATTTAGAGTTAGACCGTTTAAACGAAATCAGTCATTAGGTATTTAGGATTGTAATAGACTACAAATGCAGGGGATATTGAGAACTCCGTGGATCAAAAGCTGTGGAGATGCTAGGTAAAGGAAAGTGCACCTGGAGTCCCAGCACCCCAGGGAGCCAAAGTATGAGATTTATAAATCCGAGCTCATTCTGCACAATTTAGCAGTTTAATTTAGAAAGACTGTTTCAAAATAAAAGCATTTTTAAAAGATTGAGGATGTAGTTTAGTGCAAAGCCCTTGGGTTCAACCCCCTAGTAACACACACACACACACACACCCTGTGGAGAGACTTGGGTTGGATGACATGGAGTTCAGCTGGTAGGGAAAAGATGCATGCACTTTGGATCAGCAAGCAAGCTTAAATGAGGCACTGTCCCCTTTTAAACTCCCCTGAGTCCCTTTTTCTTAAGTTTACTCTCCCTAGCTGAATTTCTAAACATGGCTTATTCTTTCTACCTTCCCTTATATTCTTCATCCTGTTGCTATTCCAGATTTTCTGATGTAGGATGCCTTACTGATCCCTACACAAAGTAATTTTCTTTGTGTTGTGTTCTTGTAGTACTTACTTGTGATAGAAATATAAATTCTGTCCCATTTATCCCTAACTAGATTGTAAGCACCTAGAGAGTAAGACCATGTCATTCCTCAATGTGGTTTGTAAGGAGAAACCATTCGATAAATTACTCATTAAAAGAATGAGTGAATGTATGCCTGCGAATAGGATGTAATGAGAAATTTAAATACTTGTTTAGTAAAAAAGGGGGGGAAGTATTGGTAAGTAGATGGCCAATTGAAACTCCCCTAGGAACCATCTAAAAGACTTGTGGCTTTTTAAATAAGAATTTACAGACTTGTACAGACGTCAGCAATGTCCTTCTACTGAGTGAAATAGTCTTGTCTCTTTTAAAAGAGTTTCTGGGGGCTGGGGATTTAGCTCAGCTGCATAAGCGCCTGCCTTGCAAGCAGGCAGTCGTGAGTTCGATCCTGGGTACCAATAAAAAGGGAAAAGACCAAAAAAAAAAAAAAATTAAAAGTTTCTGGAGAACTCTAAGAAATTAAAGCAATTCTTAAAAGATTCAGATAGGAAAAATCACCCAATATCTCAATCTTGGGGATAATCAATTTATGTTTTCACCCAGAAATTTCTTTTTTTCCCATCATATATTCCTGAGAACCTGTTATTTCAAAGCACTATGTTAAAAAGAACCAAGAATGTTATTTGAAAAATGAATCCTGTTTCCAAAGAAGTCTGCCGTTTGAAAGAAGAGTGAAACAAATGGAAAAGCACATTTAAGAACTTTGATTGTATGTGGCTGGAGTATGCAATAAAAAATTCAGGCTCAGTGATTTTCATCCGTATATTGTGTCTGAATCATCTTGAGTATTTCGTCGTTTCTGTTTATGTGGATGTTGTCAAATATTCGTGCTTTGGTTCTACCTCTGCAGATTTTGCGACAGTGGTGCTGTGACGTATCCAGGCTATGGAAAGACCTGGACAGTATTCTTTTGCCTTCTGCCAGGTGATTCTAATGAATACAAGGGTTGCAAAGCATTGGGCCAAGTCGATTATTTATTAAAGTTTTAGGAAACCCACTTGATTTATCATGAGAAAACTACCTTAAACCGGGTGCCCTCAAGCCTTGCCACTAAGTTAAGATGGGAAGGGAGCAAATCAGCCTTTGCTGATGCCACCCTCATCTCACTGCCGAAACAACAGGAGGGGAAGGAGACCAGGGCCTGTATGCACAGTTGAGCAGTTTGCTGCCCCCCCCCCAGAGGTATCCAGCTGGGTATTCTCTTTTTCCTTCATCAGGCTTTCTATATGTGAGAATTCATCTGCTCATTGGTACACGGGTGTCATGGACAGAGATGGTCCTGAAGAATGGAATCGTGGTTGTGGATATTTATATTGTAAACTTAGTAATAAGCTAATAAAGTTCTGCTTTTTAGCCCCATTGCTGCTAATTCATTCCTTGTTAGCATTTGGTTGACTAAACCTTTTAGTGTTAATTAAGTAGTGCCAGGATGTGGAGGAGGAAACACTGACAAGCTGTACTAGACCCACCCACAGATAGAACAAAAATAGCTGTCGCAGGAATTACTGGTCATGGGCTTCTCTAATTGTGTTAACATATTGTGGCAAAGAATATCTAATACTTGGTCTCGTGAACCATCCTGGGTGGTCACTTACAGTATTATATCAAAAATTAATAATATATACATCAATGGGGAGATTGTCACCAAATCTTCAATGTTTTAACCAGCTTATAACTACAAGTTTTCAGTTCTGCCAAATTCCATGCATCTTTTCTGTAGATAAAATATTACAGAGTTTTAGGGGAGTTAGAGGGGAACTCTTGTCAACTATAAAAAAATTAGTTCCTCTTGGTTTCACTGCTATTATGATTTCCATAAATGTTTGAGGAGAGAGAAAACACACCTACTTCCAGAAGGGCGGTGCTTGACCCTTCTGAACAAAATATAGTCCTTGTTCACAGATGACAAAGCATTAATGTGTTTGAGTTTATTTTTAATCATATACTTTTGAGTTTCATTCTTGTGCAACAGACTGTTAGTGTCTATAAATCTGGGTGTTTTTTGTACACAAAAAGACAAAGAAATGTACATCAGGAAGCATAATACCATATGCTAATCTAGTAAGGAAATGAATGAGGTTTAAAACAAAAGGCCAGAAATCTGAAAGTATGTTTAATTCACACCTGCTCTGTTCAGCTCATCAACCCATTTCAGTATTGATCAGTGATGACTCAATTTTCCAGAATGGGGCTATATAATAAAACGCTCATTTAACAGATTCATGTACCAGTCTGGGCAGCCTCCCTCAGCAGAAATAGCTTGGTATCTTCTTAGCTCTTGGGTCCTATGGAGGTTACTCAGTCTCCTGAACCTGTTTCCTTATCTTGAAAGAGATTTTCTTAACACTTAACGTTCACAGAGTTGTGTTTGTCAAGGGAAGGTTGGTCTTTTCTGGAAGTACATCTAGAACAGTATCTGATATGTAAGTGTTTGATACAGGGAAACTATTTTCATGATTGCATGCGAATGATACCAGTAACCGTGTTAGAGCTATGTACATGAGACCCTGTGGAAGAAAAGGTACCTCGGCCTTGGTTTCTGTCTCCCCAGCACTGGGGCTGAGGATTAATAGTTATTCACAAGTGTTGAGGACCCACTAAGTGTAATACAAATGAGATAAGATCATGTTCTCATGGTGCTCACATTCTACAAAGACAGAAGATAGATAATTGAGTGAATAAAATAATTTTGCTGATAATGTAGTCAAGGAGATTCTGTAAGGTGAGAGATGGTGACTTGGTGTTTCCATTCAGATTGGAGGGACATAGAGGTTACTGAGGATGTGGCATTTGAACTGCAATCTGAATGAGGAGGGGAGAGACATGATCTGAGAGAGGAGTCATCCGTGCAGTGGGAGCAGCAAATGCTTCCAGATGGGAATGACTTTGGTGTGTCTGAAGAACAAAAAGAAAATCGACTGAAGAAGCAGGAAACAGAGTCATAGGGCCAGGCAAGGCCAGATTTCAAAGGGCTTTGCACATTTACTGTCCCTTAGCCTTTGGTACTACTCCTGTTGAGTAGATGCAAATGAATATAGTGTTATGGTTTGTGTCTAGATGTACCCCTAAAGCCTCATGCAGACATGAGGGTAGGCTTTTAGAGTTGGTGATTGATATATGGGCCATTGCTGGGATTAAGGATGTGAGTGCTATACCCACCTAGGGCAGGAAGCCTATATCCAGTATAAGAGGAAACGTGGCTTGCTGTCCTCTCTTGTTGCTTTTGGTATCTTCTGTTGCTTTAAAAGGCTGCTCTGCTGCCTTGGAGCCAGCCGATTGACTGAACTGTGAGCTAATAAACCTCCCCTGCCTTTAACTTTGGGTGTCAGGTATTTTGTCTCAGCAGCAAGATAAGTAACTAAGACATGTGGCCACAGTTTCTTTCTTTCCTTGCTTTTAGGAATCATACAGTGACAAAGGTGAAAATGTCCAGTATAGAGCCTATCATGTAAAAGGCTGATTGGTTCTCAGTTTGGTATCTTTCCTTTGAAGGTAACAATTTTCAGACTTGACGATGATCCCTTACAGATTATGAGGCAAGTAGGAAATTTTCTGTTTGGAGCATTTTGAATTTTGGATTTTTTTTGGAATAGGGGTGCTCAATTCTAGTAGGAGCTCATTAAATGTATGAGCTGGACAAATCTGTGCAGCTCTAGGATTCAATGACAGGAGGGATTACTAGGTAATTTGCAAAGGTCCTTTTGATGACACAGTCTTCACTAGATTTCCGAAAGCTCCTTACCTTCAATAGTGGATTGATAAGTGATTGTTTACCTAATGTGATTATATACAGCACTTAGAACAGGAGTCTTTGAAACAAAAGAAGTTTAAAAGCGTTGGCTAGTCCATACTAATGGCAGTTTTGTGTATGTACAAGTGTACAAATCTTTAGGCACTGAAAAGTTCCCAGAATAAGTGAGACATAAACACCTTTAGTTTATAGGGCGTTGGAGGGGAAACTGAGACACATAAACATCTTTTTTTCCTGTAGCCATCTGGAAAGAACAGTAAATGTTCTCCTTTCTACTGAGGATCTTAAAGAATATTAAATAAAAAGCAGAAACATTCATATTTGCAGACCAATGTAGATGGCAAGGTTGTTAGCATTTGAATGTCATTAGTAAAATAAGAAAAATGTAAATTTGAGCTTTTTGATAACTGTGCACATTTAAATGATAGAGATTAAAGAAAGAGGATGATAATTTTTTATCAGAAAATGTTTTAATGGCCTTTTAAGTCTTTTAAACTTTATAGAACCATAAATATTGTGGATTCCAAATAACTGTTTACATAAATAATGTCTCCTCTCTTCAAGATTGAAAAGGCCAAACCCATTAAATGTGGAACATTTGGTGCAGCATCTTTGCAGCAGAGATACTTAGCTACTGGAGATTTTGGTGGAAACCTTCATATATGGTAAGATTATTTAAGCAGTGTTCAAACACTAGACAGGCACCTTTTTTGGTATTCTGACTGCTCTTCTCAGGGATAGAATTTTAATTTTAAAATGTTTCATCTTTTGCTCAATTTTAACTATAAAAGTATGGGAATTATCTTTGAATGTGCTTTTCTAGAGTTCATGTTCCAAATATTCTTAAAAATACTAACCTATTTTTCTTCAGATATTTTGAATAATATGTCAATACTTGTTTCCTTAAATGCTGTTTTATGCTAGTATTTAATGTCCAGTATCTGTAGGTAAAACTCTTTATTTCCCTCTACTGCTGAGAAATAATACAGAAAAGTGCACATATATAACATTAAAAAGTTAGATATCAATTATTTACATTTCACCAAGAGATTTGGTATTACAGAATGCTGTGCTGAGTTTTTGTTTTAATTCTTTACTGTACAACTTACACATCATTTACAATTTGCTTATTTAATGCTTTAAGATCTAAGCACAACTTCTTAAGAATACATCTGTTGAACAAATCAAGATGAACTTGTTTTAAGCAAGCAGAATTACATTGTACCATCTTCTTTTAATTTTCATGTCCTACCTTTATTTCTTTATATTTAGAACTGAATGATTGAAATTCTTTATTTTTCAAAAAAATTATTTTAATGACTTAAAATATATAGTAATGTTCTAGAAACTGCATTCCCTATGTCTTACTTTCTAATATGACCTTTCTAGATTTTCACTTAGAATGTATTGCTATCTAATAACTTCGTCATATTCATCTATTGTAGAATCATATTATATATTATAAAGTAGAATGAAGCTAATTTTCTTTTCATAGTTTAGCTGTTACTTTAGCATTTATTCGTTACTTCTTACATGCTATGTCATATGTTTTCAGAGAAATTGGGAGAGAAGCCAGCCTGTTTTTTTTAATGAATATGTTTAAACAAGAATAACTGTTGGCCATCTTCTTAATAGTGTTCCCTAGTGTGATGCAAATACTACCAACTTACTTTTATTGATAATTCTTATAATTTCAAGTTTAAAACAAATCACATGTTAAAGCCTATAAAAATAGAAGAACAATTCTTTTAAGTGGAGCCACAATCCTGTGGAATCTCTTGATTCTTTTATAATAATGGTACAGAGGTAAACATCTCTAAACTAAGTTGAACTGGCTCAATTATTTTTTCCAAGTATAGGGGTTTGAATCTAGGCATACTCCACTGCTGCGTGACATTCCCAGCCTTTGTAAAAAAAAAAAATTAATTATTTTTGAGACAAAGCATAGACAAATTGCTCCAGTGAGATTTTAATTTGCCATCCTCCTGTCTCAGCCTCCCTCTATGCGGAAATGACATGTGTGTGGCACTGCACCAGCTTAATTAAGTTTTTCATTATATTTTACTAATAAATCTTGCTCCGGTAAGTTGAGATTGTTCTTCATAAATAACATTCCTTTTTTTAAAAAAGTGAAAGCTTTTGGAAACTAACTCATTGAGAGAACTGTGGAAAGTAAGAGGAAGGGGGCCATACAGGATTACGAGTGTAGCCTCACCCAGCCATTCATCACGCAGACTCGTGTATTCATTGGTACTTTTCTGAGGGCCTTTTGAATTAACATTTGATTAGATGAATTTCAACTCGGCTGGCTGTAATATTTATTGTGAAGACTAGGAATCAGGGAAGGTGTGCCCGAAAGCAGTGTGACATTCACTGGCAAATAGGGAGTGAGAAATGTATACGAAGTAAACACAGTGCATATTTTAGCCTCAGAAAATATCTCAAGATGAAACTACCAGTGCCCACTTTGGAGTCATTTTAAATCCCTTTGAGTTTGCTCTGGATTTAAAGCAGTGGTTTCTATGAAATAGTCCATGGGTTGGCGGCCCATCCCTAAATCCTGATTCATAGTGCCTGAGAAGGAACCCACTAGTCCGCCTTTTTACCGAGCATGACTATAAGTCATACTTGGAAGACCCACATAGGTAATCTTTAAAGAACACTAAGTGGATTCAGGAGTTCCAATTTCAGGCTGAATAAAAGTGTAGTTTTCATTAGGGGCTTAAAAGAACCTGAAGCAGAGAAACAATTTAGAAGTAAATGTGTAAATTACCTTCATAGCAAAATCCTTATTTTTAGACAAACAAAACAGATGGTATGCATTCTTAAATTGTAGTAATGGATTTAAGTGTCTGCTATATATGGTATAAGTAAGAAGCTATGTTTTTTTCTCGAGGAATTTGGAAGCTCCAGAGATCCCAGTATATTCTGTCAAGGGCCATAAAGAAATTATAAACGCTATAGATGGTATTGGAGGACTAGGAATCGGGGAAGGTGCGCCCGAAATTGTGACTGGCAGCCGAGACGGTGAGTGGCTGTATCTGTGTGTGCACGAAGGTTTTGGTTTTGTGTTTTAGTGGTTATCTGTGCAGCAGAGCATCTCTCTACACACAGATCCTCTTGGTCGCCTTGATTTCCCAACAATTGTGCTTCTGCATTTTTAATATGTAAATTTGAATGCATGTCCCTCCATTGCTTCAGACTTCTGGGTATTTTGAGTTAGAGACCTAACACTTACTATTTTAGTTTTGAGTGAGTTTAACTACTAACATTGATAGTTTCCTGTGAAACTTGAAGGATTTAAAATGCCTGTGCAGGTTTTGAAGCAGCTGACGATATAATGTGGGCGGCAGCTTTTCATCTTCTTTTTTTAAAAAGCAGAATTAGTACTTGTGAAAATAGTCATATTGACAGCTGATTAAAAACGGAGCTTCTGTAATCCAGCCAGTGAGCGCTGTGGAGAGTGCTAGGATACCCAGGGGGCTTTTCCACCACACCGACCCAGACCCCGAGGGACAGGTCTTGTGGTGTCCGTATTTGTTCTGAACGACCATCACAGAGTTGAGAGCTTTTGTTATTTCATAAAGTGTGAGAGATTGGTACTTTTAGCTGTTTTGGCTAGTTTTCAAATGGCTGCTCAAGACCATGAAAGAACTGTCTTAAAAGAAAAGTGAAATAAAATTTTCTAATAATTCCTCAAGAGCAGTTGTGTTTTAGAAATCAATTCTTTTGTGTCAGTCATAAAAACAATATGGAACACAGAAGGAAAAATAACATTGAACTGATAATACCACAATGCTAGATTGTTTTTTTTTAAATCCTGTTGTGTGGTTTGTTTTCTGAACAGTGCAAGCTGGCCTTAAACTTGCCATGCAGTCTAGAGGCTGGTCCCAGACTCTCAGTTCTCCTGCCCTAGCGCCCCTAAGTGCTGAGATTACAGACCTGCATACCACCTCCTGTCCGTTGTTTTCAATATCCAGATTTACAGACAGTTTTGCATATGTATCTGTGTGTCTAATTCATATCTCACTTTGTTCATTTAAGGTTTGTCACATACGCATATTGCTGTCTCTGTATAGTTGTCATAATTATGACTTCGATGGTTGTAATATTCCAACACAATTGTGACACAGTGCACCTAGTAATAAGCATTCTGTATGCCTTCAGGTTCTTGTTTGTTGTCTTGGGAGAGTGACTTAAAATTATTGAAGAAATGAGGGGCTAGGGATTTAGCTCAGTGGCATAAGTGCCTGCCTTGCAAGCAGGCAGTTGTGAGTTCAATCCCTGGTACCAATAAAAAAAGAAAAAGACACAAATAAATTAAATAACATTATTGAAGAAATGATTATTTCATGTATGTAACACTTTTAAGATAAACACAGCTTATGATTCTTAAAATTTGTTGCTAAACTTTCAAAAGAACCTGTTTACGTCATCTGCTATAATATATGAGGTAAATTTCCAGTCCACCCTAATTGGCATTGATTTTTTTCTTTTCCCCCTAATTTCGTGATGATAAAAATAGTACCTCTCTTCCACTTGTACTAATATCTTTTTACGTTTGCTAACTCTTTAATTTTGTTTCAATTTCTTAAATTTTCTTTGCTAATTTAACTCGTGAACTTCCTATAAATCTTACAAATCTATAAACTTTGTAGAAGAAGGCTCATCTTTGTGGGAAGTTTTGTTGTTGTTTTCCTCCTCCTTAAAGGAGTCTTAATGACCAGCTGTATCCCTGGAGATAAGGCCAGTGGGTGTCTCCCACTTTCCTGCGCTTATTCTCCTTTCTCAGGACTTTTCCTCGCCGTCTCTCGGATGCCTGCTTTCAGCCATTTTATTACATACATTCGCACTTCTTGTAGGCTTGTAGGCAGTGACACAGTTAGTGGTCCTATGATAAGAATTAACATGAGGGGACTGAAGTCAGCTTGAGAACAATTACTTGTTAGTTTTATTTAATGTTTCCTTCTTTACTCTTTCCTTGGGGAAATTAAAACTTAGTTGTATGTGAAATAGTATTCTAAAAACCATACATATAAAAATGAGAGCTTATTCTTGTATATAAGAAAAATGCCAATGGTTATATGAGTAGTAAAAAATTAAAACTGACATTGGCATTCTAAATAAATAATGCATTTCTTTTAGTCTTAAAGGAAATGAGGCATAACTTGAATTACATGGCATTTGTATTTTCTTTGTCAATCATAACTTATAGGTAATTTAGGAACAATTTTTCTGCGCATATTAATTTGAAAATCATATAGACAGTAACATGGATTACAGAAGCCACTATTATTGTCAAATACAATTTAATCCATTAGCAGAAAAATGTGAATTTTTTACATGTCATTATATCTGTAATATTGCCATGTATACTGGAACTCTTGGAAAGAGGATGCAGGAAAGAGATGCAATTGTTCACTGTGGAATTTTGCTAACTCCCTTTTATTTGTGGCAGGAACTGTGAAAGTGTGGGACCCAAGGCAAAAAGATGACCCTGTTGCCAATATGGAACCTGTAAAAGGAGAAAACAAGAGAGACTGCTGGACTGTGGCATTTGGTAAATTATTGAGAAACTTTTGCTTTTAAAGTTAGATGATAAAAAACAGTGCCTCAGAAAAACAAAACAAAACAACAACAACAAAAACAAACCAGTCCTGTTACCTGTCTATCTGGGCAGGGATACCAGGGACTACCAGTCCCTGTGTAGTCTGTTTTGTGGATTTTTTTGAATTCATTGAAGCAGATATCAGTGATCAGTGCCAGGCCCTGGAACAGGGTTTGTGTGGAGTGTTCAGTGAGTTCGTTAATACTTGTAAAGTGCTCAGAATTAGGTTTATATTGTTAAGTATTCAGAACTATTTGCTGTTATTATTTGCCTCTGATTAGGTAAGATTTTCCTAGTTTAGAACTGAATGCCATTACTGAGGCAAAGCAGAGCCTCAAAATACTAAGCATAGCCTAACAAAAGTTGTGTTTTATGTAGAGTGTGCTTATTTTCTAGAAGATTGTTATGCCATTCTAAAATTGTTTCTTATAAATTTGGTAACTGTATTCCTTTATCAACATACTTACAAAAGTACTGATTTTGTAGGACTAATTGTTGCTTGCCCTTGAAACTTAGCACCAAAATGAAATTGTTTTGCTGCTAAAGGATTTGGATTATATTTAGTTTTAAATATCTATTTTCTTTCTCTCTTTTACTAAGTGTAATCATATGGAAAACAGGATTGAAAAGTAAAATGTAACAGAAAAAGTGAGCTGTTTTAACTTTTTCTATTAGACTGTGACTTAGTCACAGAAAACCTTAGATTTCTGACTTCTAAAAGAAGTTACAGTATGTTAATTACAAACATGTGTACACTATGAACAGTAAGATAAATTTAGAATATGTACACTTGAGTGAAGTTTCAGGACGAATATTTAGAGTGATGATTTTTAAATTGATATAGTTACAAAGGAGTTATCTTTGGATCCATGGAAGTCTTTTCACTTCTAATCTCAGGCACATAAGGATGATTTGGTATGTATCATACTGAAATTTTACAGAATCATGCATTGACTTGAGCGTTTCGTTCAGTTTCGTGATGAAGTCCTGCTACCTTGCCTAGGCTGGCCTCAAACTCCGAGGCCCAAGTACTCCCAGGTAGCTGGAAATGCAGGTACACTCCACTGTGCCTGGTGGAGATTTTCTTTTAAAGAATGCCAAGTATGTGCAAACCACTGGGGGCATGCAAAGGTGAAAAAAGTAGGATTTTCACTACTGAAATTGTGAGGAAATTTCAAACATGGGGCATAACTTGACAGTGCCCAAGAAAATGTCTATGAGGGCATAGTGGTGGTCCGTAGAGATGGCTCTGAGCCATGGCGTAGGTGTTGGGATGGCCTGGGGGTGGTGGTAAACCTTTGTGGGTTTTGTATGGTTTTAAGATTAGTAAACATTAACTGTGTAGCAGGGAGAGGTGGTCCATTGTATATGAGCTCAGAGGCTTTTGTAATATTTCTTAGGAAGAGGGTTAGAAGCAATGAGAATGGAGCGGAAAGGACAATTCAAAGATAACACTGCGGCAGGCTAAATAGAATTCGGCAGTGTTTTAGGTACGAGGAACCAGGAAAAGGGTATTTCCAGGATGACTGGACCTTGGGACTTACTCTGGAGGGAATGATGCTTTGTGGGAAAGGCTGCACAGTGGTGTACTACGGAGTCCTCACTGCTGAAATCAGCGCGGCTCATCATCAGCCTAAGCTGCTGGAGTTCATGAGGAGGGAGTTGGAAGCAGGGAAGAATGCAGGCTTGGGGGAAAGATGTCCGGGTAACCCAGTGCAGTGACAGGATCCCCTTTTCCTCGGCAAGGGGACTCGCTCGGGATAAACAATCCCCACGTCTTAGAGGTATGAACTTTACCACAGATTATAAAGTTACTTCAGGTGTGGTCAGCCACCCTACCAAAAAATGCATCAATACTTACTTCACCTTATTTCAGATATTCTTGCAAAGACAGAATAATATCAGAACAAAATTTTGCAAAATAACTGAGATTTAAAGTTGTTCTGTTTGAATTCAAAATACTTAATGTCAAAGAAATCAATAGGTGCACGCCAGACATGTGAGAATTGTGTTTGAACTATAGTTGATCTTCTAGTCTTTGCAGGCAAAGCATAGGGAGAACATTTTCTTTTAATTTATAATCCAGTAAGCACTTCAGTGTACCCCTTGAACACGAAATTTCAGTGAATGATCTCCCACCTACCACCAGTACTTGGATACGGTACAGTGAGCTATGTCCCCAGGCCTTTTTAAATTTTATTCTGAGATGGTCTCCGTAAGTTTCCTACGCTGGTCTTAGATTTGTGATCCTCCTGCCTCAGCCTCCTTGGTAGCTGGGATTATAACAGGTGGGCACCACTTTGCCCAGCTCAAATAAGCCTTTTGGAAAAAAATTAAACACCAAATCAATAATCTTGATATCCTGTCAGGATTGATACAGTAGGATTGTACCTAATGTGATTCTTAAAATTAGATTTGACATAAGTTTTATTTATATATGTAGTACTGGGGATCAAAGTCAGGGTCTTGCACTGGCCAGCCAGGCACTTTTGCCGCTGAGCTAAATCCCCAGCCCTCCAGATTTGACATAAGTTATATGCATAGTTTTGTAACTTTTTTTTAGAATCTCCAGATTAGCATTTGTAGGCCTGAAATATTGTATCTTGACTTCCAGGCAATGCTTATAATCAAGAAGAACGTGTTGTTTGTGCTGGCTATGACAATGGGGATGTCAAACTGTTTGATCTCAGAAATATGTCACTGCGGTGGGAGACAAATATAAAAAATGGGGTAATGTACATTCTGATGCTGTTTAATCTCTGAACGTGTTTCCGTTTACCCAGAACTACTGCAGAGTTTTAAAAGCACCGCTGTTAACCCGTCCCAGTCAGTTGTCTGCTAGTGCTTCTTAACCTCAAATTTGGGGTCAAACTGTTTTGAGGAACTAGTAACCCTTTGAAGATACAGTGTGTGTCATGCTGGGGAGCCCCTAGTCAGGAGGCCCTTTGTGGACCCTGGGGGCTCTGCAGTGTGACCATAAAATTAAGACAGTAAGAGGACTCTTCTGCTGATAGCGGAAAGTCTGAAGTAGCAGGAGCCTCTCTGAGTGCTCTGGGACTGTATGCCTTTGCTGAAGAAGCTGTTTCCCTCCTGTTTTCTAAGTCAGCCTTGACTGAACTGTGTTGAACAATGTAAGGAGTTACATTTTCACTCTCCAGATGCATCCACTGAGCATGGGAACTGAAGATGGTTTCGTTGGTCATATTAGCAGATAGTTATTGATTTATTGATTTATGCACTACTGGGCCAGGGCCTTCACACTGTTCTCCATCTCCAGCCCTTTTCTGATTTTTTATTTAAGACAGGGTCTTCCTGAGTGGCCCAGGTTGGCTTGAACATGCGGTCCTCCTGCCTCAGCTTCCCACAGTGCTAGGACTACAGACATATAGCACCGTGCTGGGCAAGAATTTTTTTTTTTTTTTAAGAGTAAAAGTAGTTAATATATTGATTCAGAAGATAAAATGATTATTTAAGTGCTTTTACATGATCTTAACATTTTAAAGCAGTCTTACCTAGTTTAAAAGAGCCTCCAGAGTAATAACGAGCCTATTAAAAACATATATTCTCTGTTTTCAGGTGTGTAGCTTGGAGTTTGACAGAAAAGACATAAGTATGAATAAGTTAGTAGCTACATCTTTGGAAGGAAAGTTTCATGTTTTTGACATGAGAACACAGCATCCTACCAAAGGTTTTGCCTCTGTTTCAGAAAAGGTAAATATGAGGGAAATGTCTCTATGAAGAATGATAGTTTGTTTTAGACTAATATATGGAATAGTCATCAAGGTTTCTCTAGGTCTTTATATGAAAGGAGCTATTTTTGTTAAATTCTTGTGGGATCTTGACAGGTTTTTTTGTGCAAAGAATGCATTTATCAATTTAGGCTCTTTGATTATGATAAAGAGCTCAGTTAACTAGGAATCTCATTTTGCAATTTAGGAATATCATAAGAAACTGCTGATGTTCGGAATTTTATCAACAAAACTAGCCTGATGTTTTCTAATAAATATATAATGTTTTAAAAAATGTAACCTAATTGCATACTTTCAGAATATTTCGGTATATATCCATTAAGCCATTTCATCAATTTTGTTTTGTGTTCTAGGTGGCCACATTAAGTGACATTATTTAAGTTAACTAATTACTGGAATGAGTATATATTAGGCATTCAGGATATTTATATTTTTGCCTTGCTTTCAAGGAAGACACAGTATTATAGTTAATGCTGCTAAAGAAAAAGAAAGAAATACCCAGAATAAGGGGATTACATAAAATTCATGCTGACACATCCTAACACTTGCAAGATGTGGATTGGAAATGTGACTCTGAGCTTTTTTGATTATTAAACAAAAAAACAGTTATAGGGACTGGGGATTTAGCTCAGCGGCATAAGCGCCTGCCTTGCAAGCAGGCAGTCGTGAGTTCGATCCCTGGTACCAATAAAAATGAAAAAGACAAAAAAAAAAAAAAAAAAAAAAAACCAGTTATAGATTGGTAGCTTCCATGAGATTGAAATGTACGAGTTGCTTTGGAAATAGGAAATCACTGCTTTGCTCCCTCTTCCTCCACTGTAGATTCTTTAGGCTTCTCAAACCTTGCTATTTTACCGTAATTATTACTGTATATTACTTTGCTATACTATTGCTGGATGATCTAACTTAACAAAGTAGCTACAGATTGTAATATTGCTTTGCCTTTGTTGTTTCAGAATATATTAAGTACCTATCCACAAAAATCATACTTTACTAAATTGCTTTGTCTACAATTCACAACACATTTTTTGATTATTTGCAAATAATAGTGTCTTCTTCAAAATTTTCCCCAACACTTAGTTAAGCCAGTAATTGCTGAATCTGTCAAAAAAATGTCTCTGGTGTCATTTAATAGGTCATCTTCTCCCCTCTCTCCTCACTTTTTAGGTTTTTCTCAACTCCTACAGAAAATTTAAGCTACAAAACAAATGAAAATAGATTTTGGTTGCATGAACCTACTTATTTGGGGACTTGGTAACTGTGTATTTTGAGATGTGTATATTTATCCTGTAGTGCTGTCCAAAAGACTATTAAAAGCCAAAATCAAGAGTAAGCCACCCTCTAACATGTGAAGGGTAAAAGCAGGGCTTAGATGGAGTTCACCAGGCCCACTGCTTCTCCAGAGCGGAGGGAACCCCGTATCCCTCTCTCCTGCCCTCGCCCACCCTCTGCCCGCTGCCCTGCACTTGCTCCCTCCCCCAGCCAACAAAGCGCAGCCCTGATGATTTAGTGGCTGTCGTTGAGCGGCTAACAAACTGATAACTTTCTTCTGGTCATCATTTTTAAATCTTTGTGTTTTTAATGTGACTGGGAAGAGCCTTATCTTGTTAAGACCATAAACACTGTCTATAAATCCTCATGATCTGTATTTTGAAGAAGTCAGAAGGCAGTAAATTGAAGGTAAGGTTCTCAGAGCTGTTACATAAATTTAATCTATAAACTAGAACTCTGTACTTCACATCATTTTTACTGAGGATCTAAAACTGTTGTAAAACTAAAATCTATTTTAAAAATCAGTCTATACTTCTTTTTTTTCCACTTGGGAAGAAGTATGTATTTTTGTATTTGAGAATTTCCCCCTCAGAATGAACTAAAGAGACTTAAATATATAAAACCTCTTGTAATCATTTCTGTGGTTCTATAAACTTAAATGGACTTTTAGTCTAATTTTTTTTTAATCCATTAGAACTTCGTTCTGTAAAGCAATAGAGAAAAATGGTATTTTCTAATTTCTTTGTAAATGTTTGTAACCATGATAAAGGGGCATGCTAGGAACCTCCTTGGTTCCTTTTCTAACAGCTGAAGTCATGGCAGGGAAAATTCTTTGTAAGGCTTCTCTTCCAGGGTGCAGGAAGCTTATTAAGCCAGTTGTGTGCTCTCGTCCTGTGCAGGCTCATAAATCCACCGTGTGGCAGGTCCGACACCTGCCACAGAACAGAGAGCTCTTCCTGACAGCTGGCGGTGCCGGCAGCCTGCACCTGTGGAAGTAGTAAGTGTCTCCCGGGACGCAACGCTCCTTTTTAAAGTTACTTGTGGGGGTAAAGTAGGGTTAGATCGACCTTATTTGTCTTTCTCCTCCTTTGACTTAGTTCATTTTGGTACAATTTTAACTGTCGTAGTATTACATAACTGTTGTTTTCTAAGCAATTAAAAGTTATATTTATTTTATACTTAATATTAATCTTCCTTTGACATGCTAAATATATTTTTCATATAGTTATGTCTTCTATACATCAGAAGAGAGTACTGAGAGTTTTTTACATAAATTTGAAGTCATAGTTTTTGCTAGGTTTTTTTTTTTAAGTATGCAAAAATTTGACTCAAGACTTTTGTTACATGTTATCTTATATTTGATTAGAATATTACCTCTCAAAGGTAAGGAAAAGATTGAAACCCTTCATGTTAGCTCCTAATAATTTACTTGCCTAAACTGAGATGGCATTATTGTGACCAAACCAAAAATCAGAGCCCCAGTCTTCTGATTGTTTTCCAAGATGAACGTTACTGAGTTTGCTTTCTGCATATCTGTAACCATGAGCTGCACTCTGTGAGTCCCAAGGGCCCTTCCCGGTAGCAGTTTTATTTATAATCCACACATGGCCACATCTGTAATGCGAATTTTATACCATAATGAATGTAGTAATTATATCCGTGAAGTTGGGTCTGTATATAATCAGAGATTGGAAATTTATCTCAACGTGAACTTTAATTCTTACTATAACAGATGCAAGTTGGTTTGGAACTTCATGTCAAGGATTCCATTAACAAAAGAGAACCGGTTTAAGCAAAATGATATTTAGCTTGGTTCCCTTGTGCCAGTCTGTGTTGATATCAATGCAATTAAATTGTCAATATTTATTGAGCACTTAAGAATTCCTAGAGAGATTCATCTACTTATTCAGAATTTATTTTTTAAATGAATGGCCATGCTGATTTTTTTTTTGAGTATTTGAAACATACAGACATACATTCAGAATTTTAAGAGATAATATGGAGGGTTTCAAACAGATACTATCTTTTAAAACTAAATGACTTCAGTGTTTGCCAAGAGGTGAAAAAATCTGTTTAAAACTGTTTATTCAAATCTGCATGTTTCATTTCTTTTAATTAAAATGATTTATAAGGTCCAAGAGGTGGAGAGAATAGTAGGCATTGTACCTGCGGGTTCTTCCTTTGTGCTCAGCTGCTTATTGGCTGAGGTTTTTAAACTCTTAGCCTTGTTAAAAAGCATTGAAGAACTCAAGGTAATGTCATATGATACCGAAAAGGCTCTGAAGGCCTTCTGACGATGAGGATTCTATGTCACTAGAACACAGTTCCACGGGGAAGCATACTTCCTCCCCCGTCTAGACCAAGCAGTATTTATTAACTAAGCATAACTTATTTATTAACTAAACACTAGCTTTTCTTACTTTATAAGTTTATCTCTCCGGCTTAAAAAATCAGATGCCTTTGGAATTGTTTTTACATTTAGGCCTGAAATCTCTGCCTCGCCGTCCCTTCCTGGGCAAACGGCACAGGCGAGGCCATTAAGCCTGCACCTGTGCGACGCACACACGCCGTGGGGTCGGGTCTTGTCCACTGCGTGCGTCCACGGGCTCCTGTGAATGTTACCTTTGCCCTTGCACGCGCTGTCTGCATCCAGTGTCTGGCAGCCCGAACCTAGAGAGGAATTACAGTCCAAGACTACCTAGGGCACCGGGTCAATTTACTGTTTAAGAATGCTGCACCAATCTAGGACTGTCTTATTAAAAGGGAACCGGGCAAAGGCTGAACAAAGATTAGAAGTTTTTAGTAGCAGTAACCTTTCTTAAGAGGTGTTTTGGGAATAGGGCTATCTGAAATACCACCTGTTTGTTTGTATAGAACTCACCATGGAAAAGAGTCTTTATGTGTTAGTGCCAGTAGCCAACCGAGAAATAAAAATACTCTTCGAGGTTTATGTATAAAAATGGTGAGGGGTGATTGTTCGTCTCTTCCCACTTTGTTCTTGTTTGTTCTTGTTTTCAGCGAGTACCCTGTTCAGAGATCAAAGAAAGACGCCGAGGGAGTGGAGATGGGGGTGGCGGGTACGGTCAGCCTGCTGCAGAACGTCACGCTGTCCACCCAGCCCATTTCCAGCTTAGACTGGAGCCCGGACAAAAGGGGCCTTTGCGTCTGCACTTCTTTTGACCAGATGGTGAGGGTACTGATCGTTACCAAACTCAAGACAATCTGACCTGCAGGCTTTGGACTTGAACATTTCTGGAGGGACACTTGTACAATTTAGGATATATTTTGGGATCTGCTGACCTCACTGAACGAGCTGGATTTGGCTGATGAACAAGGCTCCAGACATAAACCTTGAGCCTCTCTCCGGGTGCATTCAGTGATGGGACTGGACACTGGCCTCCTGCTGTGCTTCAAAAACCAGGTCTCTAGGTCCAGCTGGCTTCCTCTCCCCTCCATAATACAAAGTCAGGAGCCGGACGGGGGTGCAGACCTGCAGTCTGCAGTTCAGGAGACCGAGGCTGGAGGATCTCATGAGTCTGAGCCTAACCTGGACAACTCAGTGAGATCCTGTATCTAAATAAATAAATACATACCTAAAATAGCCAAAGTACACAGTTTTTGATATTTAAACATACTTTAAATTTGTTCTCTATCCTCCAAGTTCCATATTTTGTCTTTGTGCTAATGTTGCATTTTAGTGTTTGTAATGTTATGATTGAAGTCACTTCCTTTTGTTTAGCTTAGTGAATTAAAATTCATTAGTCCATTTTGAGAGATTTCAGTGTAAGTTTCTGTTGAGAATATTATAAAGTACAAAAATGGCACTGTCAGACTGGATTTATGTAACTTAAACAGTGTAAATCATAAAAAGAAATACCATGATTTAAAAAGATCCCCTTGTACCTAAAATGCATGGATTGAGTTACATGTGAAACTGGGTCGTGGACTGATAAATGACCATGAGATATAGAAGATTGTGGGGATTATGTGGCCTTATTTATTATTTTTTGTTAAACTTTTAAAATCTATTTCATAAATAAACTTCTGTTTTTTAAGTCTGTAGAAGCTTTCTGTTAATCAGCAGCAGTAAAAAAGTTCAGCCCCATCTCTTCCTTTTGCTTCATAAATGCTGAGTAAGTACCGCTGAGTTCTCTTTGTTTCTCTACTGTGCTCCGTGTCTTTAGCAGTGCGTTGACATCTTGACTCTGTCACACTCGACTAATAAGAGCACATTAAGTTTACTGTCCCCTCCTTCCACTGAAGAGGATGGCACCGCCTGGGACATTTGTAATACATGAAACTGGTGTGATTTCAGGGGTGAATGAAGTCAGTTGTTCAGACTGTTAAGCAAAGAAAATTAATTTTTAGTTTCCATTGAAGCCGTGATGTGCTGCTTTCTTAGCACTAATGTGTATCTTAATTTAATCTCTGCGCGGGCGTGCACCGGGGATGGGACCCTGGACCTCACGTGTGCTAAGCACGTAACTGACCCTTCAGCTGTACCTCCAGCCGCTGGATGTTTTTTAACCAATGACAGAAGTGATCCTGGAAATATAGCTTTTGGATATTTTCAAAAATATGTTTGGGTGTAACTTTTTCATCACATCTCGCTGTTGTTTCTTCTACTGTCCTGGGGATTTAACCCAGGGGCTTCACACTAAGCCACATCCCCAATCATTTATTTTATATGTTGAGATAGGGGCTTGCTAAGTCTCATTTGCCAGGTTGGGCTCAAACTTGCAGTCCTCCTGTTCAGCCTCCCAGAGTGCTGGGGTTGCAGGTATATACCACCCTGCCTCGCTGTTCTGTGCTCTTCAAAAGGAAAATAAATACAAAATTAATTTTGCGTGGTATTCCTCATATATCTTTGTATTTAGAGTCTGATCCTAAATCACAGTTAATGTTTTATCTTATTTTTTGTTTTTTCATTTTTTTCTTCTGAATCACCAGCATTTATTTTTCTTACACTGTTTAACTCCATACATAAAAAGATCTGGTGCTGAGGCATCCTGTTACTCCACTATACAAGATTGTCTCTCAGTGAACTAACACGTACTCTACAAGGTTTGGTGTGCGGACACAGGTAGTGACAGTTGTTATCACCACCGCGTGCTGACCTTTATTATAGCTATCACTGTGTCACAAAGCACTGCAGACTTCTGCCTGATGACAGTCATTTGCTTCACGGAGGGGCTGTGGGCTGGGCAGGGCTCTCTGGCAAGCTCGTTTATCCTCCACGCAGTGTGAGGCAGGCAGCTCCACAGCGCGTCGGATCTGCTTCTGAGATGCCTCCTGTGGGGTGGGTCTGGCAGGTAGCAGGGACCTTGATCAGGTCCAGGGGCCCCCCTTCCTCACGGGTGACAGGATCCCAGGGTGCGTATCTCAGGAGAAGGTTGGGAAGAGGCTGTCCTATATCATCTTTCCATGTCCCAGCTTCACGATTCACTCAGTATCGTTTTACCATGCTCTTATTAGTCGAGGCAGTTAAGACCCTCTCTATTTCCAATATTAAAGGAGAGAGGGCTCCTTAGTCTCTTTCTTGTCACTGAGAGACAATACCTGACACCCACAGTTTAAAGGAGGGCAGGTTTAGTTCGGCTCACAGTGTAGAAGTCTTGTTCCATGGTGGGCAGGCTCCCAGGCAGGACGGTACATCACGGAGAATTGCTCATGGCATGGTGGGCAGGTAGGAGAGAACGTTAGGGAGGAGCCTGGGAGTACAGAACCCCTCCAGGCCACCCCGACATGACCCATCCCTTCTGACCAGCCCCACCTCCTCATGTCAAGCCAGCTGTATCGTCCTCGTAATAAGATCATCTTCCCAAGGTTCCACCAATGGTTGCCTGACCCTGAGGCTTTAGGGGGATTCTAGATATAAACCATATCATAATGCAAGAATTCTACATCTTCAAGTGTAGGGTAGATTCAGGAGAGCATGTGAACCTTAAAGTGCTGTAACTGTCTTTTAAAAATGCAACCTAGCCTAGTGATCATGTGATGCTTCTTAATTGGTGCTTGTTAGAGCTGATGAAATGCTTTACTTAGAATGCTCCTCAGCCATTGAGCTCCACTCTTCCCTGTCCTAATCTGTTGCATGCATGATACTCTTTATCCCTGAACCTCACAAGCTTTCTCACCCTCTACTAGGAGCCACTACCAACGATGGGCAGACGCGATAAGACAGGAGTCCAGAGAATGATTCTTGTTGGAGGTCAGCTAACTTCTGAGACCAGAATTCAACAGACAGCCCCCTCACCCTGTCCTTGGCTTTGCGTCTCATTATGCCGAGAAATAATGAGGCTCTTCGGCACCAGCCTGGGTAAGGCGAAGTGATTCAGAAACCATCACGCGTCAGTCACAGAGATGGGCCTCTGGGGACCTGGCTGCTTTGGTTTGTCGCTAGGTACACACTTGCATTCACAGCAGTTTGTTTGAAGTGTTCTATAACGCTTCCTATGAGTGAGTGGACTTAGAGACTCGTGCTGGCGGTACTCAGGGAGGCTGTAGAATATTTTCACTGCAAGATTGTTCCCTTTCTTCTATACCACTAATTCATAGCCTTTGCTGTTTCAGCATTTAAAATGTTGTGGGGCCTTGAACCTTCTAGGCAAGTGCTGCTTTGCAAAGAATTATTTACCCCTTTGTTCACTAAACTGTCCTCCAAAGAGAAGTATGTAGGCTTTGGGTATAAAACAGCTTTATTGCAGCCTGCAATCAGGAGGAACGGTATTGTGAAGTACACATGGGAAATTGGCTCTTAGCTGTGCTTTAAAGAGCCTGCTGGGTTATGTTCCCCCATTACCCCTGTTGGGGTTGGGCTGCCCAGAACTCTGTCTTCAAGGCTACCATACTCAGCAGTCCCAGTAACTGAGGGCTCAGCTGGCCATGGTGGCACATGCACTCTGGGAGGTGAGGCAAGAGGATTGCAAGTTCAACTCCAAAGTGGCAGTTTAGCAACTCTGTCTCAAGATTATAAGTAAATAAATTAAAAACAAACGGCGAGGGGGCATATCCCACTGTGAAGGCTCTGGGTTCAGTCTCCAGTACCGTCTCCCCCAGCCCCTCAGCCCATGCCCCTGAATGCTGTCTGGAGTGCCAAGAAACCCTTTGACATGTTCCCTTCCCCATTTCCCACGCAGGTCTAGAGTGAACAGGTGGCACCCTGAAAACTCTTTTGTGTTGGTCCTGTGAATCTGTGCCACTGCGTAGAGGTCTAGAGGAAGAAGAAACTGCCCCGTTCCACCCCGGAACCAGAGACGCTCCGTGAGCCAGGCGACCCAGAGGGAGCAGGTGCAGCCTGTCCTCACTGCCAGCATCACAAGTGCGGTGTCCGCAGCTTCTGTGTATTTTGCATCAAACACCAGGCTTGAATGAAGACACGAGATTTTGACTTTGTTTCCGTACATTATAAAGAGAAATTTGGCTGTAGCTGAGTACAGCTGTCTTTGTACCCGCAGTAGAGCAGGTGTGATTTTCATGGAAGATTCTTTGACAACTGACCCTTGCTTGTGATGTCCTGAGTCAATCCTGCCCTTAGGGCAGCTTGAAACCAGCTCCGGCAGCTCTGCCTTCCTGCAGTGTTCCTTGACTGCTGACCAGTGACCAAACGGACAAAAAAAAAAAAAAAAAAAAATAGAACACAAAAGTGTGCCTTATCTCTGTCCTGTTCTTTCAAGTTATTGCTATTGATTAGGATTAATTTCAGCTGTAACTGAAAACCACCAAAACTGTACAAATTGATTTGTGTTTTCTAGTGTTTCTGTCCTAGTGTTTCTGTCCAGTGGTCCAGGCTGCTGCGGGCTCCACAACGGCCAGGGACTTGGTTCCAGAAGGAGCCACGGTGCACTGTGCTCGTTATATATACTCTGTTATACATAGCCTCCAATGTGGCTGCTCTAGCACCAACCATCACACCCAAACTCCAGCCATCAAGGAAGTAGGAAAAGAAAGAAAAAGGACCCCTTGCTACTTTTGTAAATAACGCTTCTGCGTTCTTATTGGTAATCATTTGATCATGTGGTCACACCTATATAACCAGACTAGAAACAACAGACTTTCTTTTTGCAGTGATACAGTCGGCAAATAGCAGATCTGGTAGTGAGGAAAACTGGGACTTGGATGTTAGGAAACAGTGAATTTGGCCACTATGTGTTGACAGTCACCCATAAGGTCTCCCTGGCTTAAATTCTCCCGGAAGTAAAACTTAGGGTGTGGTTGTTCATGCTGCATGAGCTGGATCCCGGTCTTGGCGTGCAGAGCTCCCTTTGGGATCATCTCCATCAGCTGGGCTAGACAAGACACACAGGCATCGCTTTTATTGCCTTTTATGTATACTGAATGGAAGAAAGTGTGAAAAGAAAATGGCCCCTAAAAACTCGAATTGATCCAAGTTTCTTTTCTCGGAAATTTATTTTTATTTCTAAATTCTTGCCGATCCTACATTCTTTACGCCCTTAGGGCTAGTCCAAAGATCCATGAAAGCATGAAGAATGTGCCTTCCTCATGTGTCTCCATAAACGTGGTCTGTTGTGTATCCGGACCTGCCTGGAATCACTTCTGTTGATGATTTATATGAATAAAACTTGTGTTGAGGTAGGGAAAATAGTGGGTTTTTTTTCTACAAACGTCTCTGGACTGTCCAACATATAAAAGGACTTAATCCTTTTTCTAAAAAGCTCCAGGCAAATACCGCGGGTTCAGGAGAAGTGAAAATCACGCTGAGGCTCGCTCACATTCCCTTTTCCTCTCCCAGGCAGGACCCAGTTCCCTGAATCCTGAGCCTTTGTTGTCACCAAAAAACCCAGGGGTGCACTGCCCCCTTGTGGGGCGCGTGCGTATTGCGTGTCTTTCACCAGGAAAATAAAATGGATTTATGCCTTTCAAAGCCAAATGGAAAAGGCTGCACTAATTCCCAGGAGGCACACAAGTCAAACTGGACGCCGAGATATATTTTATCTTATAGAAATTATAAAAAATTCTTCCCCATTTTGGGGGAGTGTATTAAAAACATTTTGCATAGCATGGCCATGCTTTATCATGGCAGGGTATAATAGTC